GTACCAAATTTCGTAGCCGTGGGTCTATTAGCTTACTCGCAGCGTGAACGAAAGACACACACACGCAGACAGAATCTTTCTAAACATATAGACACAAACAGATAGAATATGGGCATGTGGAAGCCTTGATTTGAATTTGAAATTTGTTTTATTATCGATTTCTTATTTTGTAACTCTTCAACGAATTTTTGATTAACAAACTAAACGATTCCAAAGCGAACAATGGCTACACTGTATGGGGGAAAAAACCTTTTTATCACTAGTGCGTGAGACTGTGTATCGGAAATTCTAAATATAGGCTGATTTTAAAATTAATTTGCGATTTTGCTGTTGAACTGAATTTTATGGTTTTAGTACGTAGGACATGATATTTAATAAATAAAGGTAACGCACAAAATGTTAAAAAAAAGCCCTTTTTTACGTAATTTAAAATCTGAAAACTTTCAGATTTTTTATTATTATTATTACTCGTTTTTGCAGCTAAAGATGATTATTCGGTAGAACTATCGAAACTAGTTCTGTGAAAAATTGCAAATATAACGCTGATTTTTGTTGTTTGACTTCTAAATTAATACATGTTCGACGTGTTATTTTATCTTAATGGTTCTCCTTACCAGTAGTAGAAAGGACTATAATAACGTAATTGTTAAAAGTACTATTTTTGCACCCACAACTTTAAACCCTAAACTATGTAAACCAATTATTGCTTTCTTTAAAACTGAGAAAGTACTCTAGCCTGGGTTCTTTTAATGGGCTATATACGTACAAATTCTTTAAATGATGATAATAAATACGCATGTTGTATTTGCAGTGCTATCTCTGTTGTATTCGAAACCAACAACGTTTCTACCCTTGTACCCTATGCATGGTTTATGTGTATTTCATCTAATGTTATTTTAACTACCATGAATTCAAGTCCTGAATTTAATGTCCTGAATTCAAGTCATGTACAATGCGGGGGGAAGGACAGTTCTATATCTCCCATTCTACTGGGCCGATTATAAAATTCAACTTGCGTTTTTCATGTCTCGAAAACGCGACTTAGGATATGTATTAAATTTATATACAGCGTTGTTCTAATTTCGTTGACACAAAGTCGGACTTTTTCCGAAATGACATGTCCATTTTTTTCCATATTTCGATTCTATGACACATATTACGCCAAACTGTCAACTTTGTAAAACTCGCACAAGTAGTTTTTAAAAAATTAGTTCTGAAAATTTTAGATCCTCAATGTTAATTAAATTTGATATATATTTATTAATATCTTCTTTTTTAAACGTGCTTTATTCCTTCTTCCAGAATTCGAATTTTAGGTTCATTCCAAATATAATTAGCCCATTTTTTTATTTTAAATAATTTTTATAAATGTTTCGAAAAACATTTTAAATTATAACCTATAAAAATTTTATCATCATCTTAAAGTAGATGCTTTTCTAAGCATACGTGCAAAAAATTACAGTGTTTTAATCAAAATTTCCAAAGATATACGTAAATTTATGTATTGGCGCGTTTTGAAATTTGGCATATTTGTTGCAAGTGATAAGAACATCAAATGTGGTTTAGGCACTCTGTAAAAATTATTTGTCAGTAGAAACGATGTCACTTTTTTTCCGCTCTTACAGAATGGAAGGGAAAGGAAAATAGGTTGCCATATATTAAGAAATTCGCCAAGTGAATTATTCTTGGCGCAAACTGAAAAAAATTTGCCAAGATAAAATTTTGAATATCTGCTTAAATTTCGCACCAAATTTTACGAAATTTAATATTTATCCATGATTTGAGTTGTAGAATTGAAATATGGAAATAATTTGGTATGTCATTTAATGAAAAAATAAGAAAATTTCATGGGACTCTTCTTAAATGGGGTTAGTATAAGATCCATAGCATACTCTATTTCTAAATTGTTCTTGAATGTGGCGTAATGATATTACGCAAAATTCTACAACATTTATATGTGTGGGGAGAAAGTGTGTGGATGTAGAAATCTGATATTAATAGTAGAAATATTAGTGTAAAAGAATTTTTTAAATTACTAATGCATTTTTAATAATAATTTAATATCGGCCGCGTATCGCATTTTATCGTTGCCAGGGTCAAAAAGTAGTTGAAAAACAATTTATGTTAACACAAATCCAATAAATAAACCCTCTTAAATGTTAAATTCGCCGGCTGAATTATGAAAATTGAATTCTGATTCTACTAATGTATAACGAATTCATGGTCCGATTGCAATGAAAAGGGGAGGTGCACAATTAGACGTTATAGCAGTCCCTATACAAAATTTCAACATTCTATGGCTAATCATTTTTGACTCGTGAGAGTGCCCATTTTACGCATGATATGTAAAAGAAGGTGGATATACATGGGGAATGCAAATAAGTCTCTGCTGTTTAATAAAATATTGAGCCACCAGTAAATTATGGTTAATACTGTCTGAAGTAAAATGTCATATCGTAAGGCTGGACATTAGCTAACAACATAACCTAGAAACATTAATGATTTTGTATCAACATTATACATTTTTTCCATGCCAAAATGTCGAGTTTGAGCTGAATAAGCATCATTTGTAGAAACTGTTGATTTACTTCTTTAATTTGAAGAAATCTGCAGCCGAGGATGAACGAGACCAAATGTTGCACAATCAGTTTGGTGACAAGCTCACAGGGAGTACACAAAACGGATAAAACCGAAAACTTGGCGTTCGAGTGTTAATTCGAGCTCAGACTTTGATGGCAAACACTCAAATGTACATCTTTGGTTGGTAAGGTCTCAACCTCGCAAACGTGCAATAAGTTAATTATCTAATCAAAGGCTGAATATTATCAACTAACTCTAACGTCCGCTGCATGTCGAGATTAGCATGAAACGCTTATGCTGTGTTCCGGCTGCCAGAACTTCGTGTCCCATAGAAGGGCGCTTCAAGTAGAATGAGCGCAGCAGAATAAATCTAGGAAGACAGGATAGAAAATGGCTAACAGAAAAACAACCGCTACCTTGATATTTGAAATCAGGGTAGTTTTTCCCTCTAATAGATAATTCCCCCCTAATAATTTAGATAATTAATTTTGTCGACGGCAACAACGATTCTCGCCACGAGATCTTCAGTTGAGTCTCGTACTCTGAAGATTTCATCTGCCCCCAGAAGAAAAGGTCCAATGTGTTGAGGTCCGGTGAGCTAGGAGGCCAAGCCACAGGTCCGATCCATGGTGCGGGATATGCGACATTCGAAAGGTTACGGACCCTGATGAGAAAATGTGCTGGGGCTCTCGGTCATAAAGCACAAGTCTCTCTGAATGGGGAGCGGAACAACCTGCAGTAAACTGGGAAGCACTTGTTCCAAGAAGATACAGTATGTTACACCGGTCAAACGGTCTGGCATGATGAAGGAGCCTAACAGGTAATCATCCTAGGATACCTGCCCAAGTACTAGAAGCGATGACTTTCATTCCAGCGCACTTTGATGGCAAACACTCAAATGCACATCTTTGGTTCTCAAGATCTCAACCTCGGAAACGATTACAACAAATTAATTATCTAATGAATGGCTGAATATTATCAAATAACTCCAACTCAAGGTAGGTTTGATACCATCAAAGTAACAGTTTTCTCCCCTTCGCCATCTACTATCCTGCCCTCCTGGACTTACTGTGCTGCGCTCATTCTACTTGAAGCGCCCTTCTATCCGACACGAAGTTCTGATAGCCGGAACGCAGCATGAACATTCCATTCTAATCTCGGCATACAGCAGAACTTTTAAGTTAGTTGATCATAGTCAGTCCTTGGTTAGATAATTAATTTGTTGCAATCGTTTGCGAGGTTGAGACCTTGCGAACTAAAGATCTGCATTTGAGTATTTGCCACCAAAGTATGAGCTCGAAATAATACTCGAACGGCAAGTTTTCGGTTTTATCCGTTTTGTGCATTCTCTGTGAGATTTTCACTAAGCTGATTGCCCAACTTCTGGTCTCCTTCATTCGCTCTCCCAACACTGCTGTAAGTTCAGGTTCGAGTTCTAATATTCTTCTTTTCTGCCTCTCGGAGTGGAATGCGACCCTATATTCTATGGCAATTATTGCTCATCTGGATAAGTACTATTACCTCTCTTAATTTGTAAAAGAAATTTAGAATCACCCTGTATGCGTGCGAACAGACATCACGCCAAAACTAGTCGAAATTCATTCAGGGTTGGTTTAAAAAAACATTCCGTTGAAATCTGAAATTTTTCGCGATTACAATACTAGAAAATGTACTTTTAACAAGGAAGTAAAAATAAACATAATTTTAAAAAGTTGTAATTAAAGCTTTTCTTCAAAACTGCACGTAGGGTTACGTAAAAAATTCAAGGTTACGTAGGAATAATTGTAGTTTAATAGTTAATTACGTTAAACTTTACAAGCTCCTGTTTAAAATGTGAGTGAGAGTTAACATCCTGTTTCCTTAGTTTCACATGTGTAAACTGTATATTCAACATGTTGTGAAACTTCCAAGACCAAAGATTTGTATTGTGAGTCAAGTTTTTACTTAGTGATTTTACTTCGTTTATTTTTAACTAATTCTTGTTTTTTGTTTCTAGAAATCCAAAAGATGGAGCAAAAAGAGGTACTCATTTGAGTATGTTCATCTTTCTCCCATCGTGGTAAGAATTTCTTTTGCCAATCATTTAAATATTTAAATAATTAAAATCATTTGAATATTGTGGTCGAAAATAAAAAATTAAGCTGTGCAAAATCTTCGGAGTTTAAAAATGTCATCATCGAAAATATCGTGGTAAAAAGTAAAGTACCCACAAATCATCGCACACGCAAGCGTTTTTCAGGTTTTAAAAGCTGTAACTAAGTAACTAAGTTTAATTATAAAATAATCTTTTTTTATAAAGTTTTATTAATAATATTTATGAAAAATACAATCTAAAAATGCTTAGAAAGATAAATAACTGCATAAGGTTACCTCTATAAAAATTGCTTAGTTAACTATCAAATTATTTTCTTTCACATATGTTAATCTCATATTGCTTTATTGAAAATTATATTTTGTTTCCGTTTATTCTTAAAGTTTCCTTAACATTTTCATGTATGGCATGCAATCAGTTTTTTGGGTGTAGATGTGTTAGTTATGATGACAGTCAGATACATAAAATGTCAGTACGGGATTTGAAAAACGCATGTGTACGATGTTATCGTCATGCGATAAATTTTAGGTACTTTATTTTTTACCCCGACATTTTGGACGACAATGTTTTTAAACTACGAAGTTTTTCAACCGCTTTATTTTCGACCACAATGTTTTAGAATAGCGAGGTTTTCTCTTCGCTTTCTTTTCTCCCATGACATTTGCGAAAAAAAAAAGGGGGTTGGACAGTTCTATATCTCCAGTTCCACCGGGCCGATTCACAAACTTCAACTTGCGTTTTTTATGTCTCGAAAGCGCGACGTGAATTTCCATTTTGGCGCGTTTTCAAATTTGTCGTATTTTACATAAACGATAATAACGAAAATCTGGTTTACACGATTTGTTAAAATGGTTTGAAAGAATGAACGATGGACCGTTTTTCCTCTCGTAAAAAGTAAGGAAAGTAAATAGGTTACTATACATTAAGAATTCCGCCAAGTGAATTATTCTTGGCGCAACTGAAAAAAATCCGCCAAGATAAATGTTTAAATTTCTCCATAAATTTCTCACCAAAAATTACAAATTTTAAGAACGAGGCATAATTTGAGTCGTGGAATCCAAACGTGGAAAAAAAAAAAAATTAATTGATTTCAGAAAAAGTCCGATTTTGTGTCAAAATACCTATGTTAGAATAATGCTATATATAAATCAAATGTATAAATGAAATGTATATCCTAAGTCGCGATCTTGAGACTAGAAAAACGCAAGTTTAAATCTGTCAATCGGCCCAGTAAAACGGGAGATACAAAAATGTTTCCCCCCCCCCCACTGTATTAGGTCGTTTTCGCATTGTGTTGTTTTATCGGCGATGTTTTCGACTTTATGAATGTAGCCACCGCATTTTTAACGCATATAATCCGCTAATTGCACATGAACACCTCGAAACCCAAGTATTGAATTTCAAAATTGTTTTGTTTTATTTAATATTTTGTATTAACTGAATGAAGTTTTCTTTAACAAACCGGATGATTTGAAAAGTATCAGTGACAACACTGTTCGAAAGAAAACATTTTTAACTCAGGAGAACCAGACGTCTGCCATTCAGCAAAATGTCAGATATTTAATCTTTCAATTTTAATCCACGGATTCGTTTGCTGGGAAGCAATATGTTGCCACTACCTCGAATACTTATTACCTTCTTGCCATTCAATAAAACGTAAGTTATTTAACTTATTTTAATCTTTCTTTCTAAAATAGCAAACCAAGCGATTAAAAAAAAAATAGACGGAGTTCATAATTTATTTTTTTTAATATTTTTTTATTTTTAATCCGATTGATTTAAATAAAAATTTCATGTGTACAACACATGACTTCCTTGTACGGAATATTAAATTATACGCATTTTTTCTTGCATTTCGTTTAAACTTATTGAATTAAATCTACTTCGCCGACAGCGCATTAACCACAATAGAATAAATGCATTGTTTAAAATTCACTCTATTTGTTTACCATAGCGACACTCTGGTGCTAGGTTCACTTAACAGTATTATATTTATTTCATATTATAACTCAGAATGCACAAAATTTATATCATTTAAAGAATTATCTAATCGTTGCCACATGTTCTATTCAAATACTATAATAAAGATGGAACGATGTACGAGTATAAAAGAAATTAAGCAAACAAAACAAACAAGAAACAGTTTTTCACAGACGATTGAGTATTTCTCATTCAATTCATTCAGTTCTCACTTCGCGACAAGGCAAAAATACATAAAAACTCAAAATATCTGTATTAAAAATTACGAAGTAAATCTTAAACACTTATTTCCTCGAAAAAACTCCAGAAAGGATTAAGCATGATTTAATTCGCAATAATTCGCTCTTTGTTGTTGCGAAGCACGTTTCTCTAGATTGGCAACAAATCCACTACTCTGCTGTTTCAAATGTAAACAAGCAATGGCCGCCATCAAAAAAATTATTAGGCTTAGCGGCACTTAAACTACTTCAAAATTGTTGACAATTCTAAAAATATTGCATACAGATTTACTAAAGCATAAAAACCTTTACCGGAAGATAAGAACAACATAATTCAATCATTTTTAAAGCAAAAAATGTACTGTACAATTTACAAGCATATAAGAGTAAAGAAACTGAGATCACTGAGCCGGGTAACAGAGTGGATATATATAAATATATTTATATGCGTTTGGCGCAGCCGATTGCAACCAAAATACGAGTTGCACATCTACATGTTATAGTAGTCCTATATACAAAATTTCAACGTTCTGAGGCTACTCGTTTTTGAGTTATGCGAGACACGTACGTACATACGTTCGTACAGACGCCACGAAAAATTGTGTTCAGAATTCATTTTAAAGCAGTTTTATAATTTTTTTGGAGAAAAAAAGTCTTTTATTCTGCCCTTACGTACAGATATTACGCAAAAACATCGTTAAATTGCATTTGAAAGCGGTCAAAATGGATATTTTCGTTGAAATATGATACCCGAAACTTTTCGCGGTTACAATACTTCCTTTTTACTTCATACAAGGAAGTAAAAATGCATTTAAATCGCGAGATATCTAATTAAAATCATTAAATATTTTTAAAAAGTCATTGAGTCGTTATAATATAACTCATTATATGCTATAAGTCATTATATACTTTTTTCTTTTTTACTTCTTTGTATGAAGTAAAAAGTAAGTATTGTAATCACGAAAAATTTCGGGTATCATATTTCAACGAAAATATTCATTTGACCGCTATCGAATGCAATTTAACGATGTTTTTGCGTGACATCTATGCCTAAGGACAGAATAAAGAATCCCTTTCCCCCCAAAAAAAATTATAAAACGGGTTTAAAACGAATTCTGAAGAGAATTTTTCATGACGTCTGTACGTAGGTACGTATGTATCTTCCATAACTGAAAACCGAGTAGCCTCAGAATGTTGACATTTTGTGTATAGGACTGCTACAACATGTAGATGTGCACCTCCCATTTTGGTTCCAATCGGCCACCAAAAGTATATATATATACACACACACTCTGTTACTCGGCTCAGTGAGCTCGGTTTCTTTATTCTTATATGCTTGTAAATTGTGCATTTTTGCTTTAAAAATGATTGAATTATGTTGTTCTTATCTTCCGGTTAAGGTTTTTATGCCTTTAGTAAATCTGCATGCAATATATTTTTAGAGTTATCAACAATTTAAAAGTTGTTTAAGTGCGGCTAAGCCTAATTACTTTTGCGATGTCGGCCATGTTTATTTACATTTGAAACTTGGCAAAATAGTGGATTTGTTGCCAATCTATGGAAACTAAGCGTGACAACAAATATGGCTCCTTCTTTCATTATTGTGAATTAAATCATGCTTAATCCATTCTGGAATCTATTCGAGGAAATAAGTATTTAAGATTTCCTTTGTTATTTTGAAATATTTTGAGTATTTTTGCCTTGTCGCGAAAAGAGAACTGAATTAATTGAATGAGAAATACTGAATCATCTGTGAAAATTTGTTTGTTTGCTTAATTTCTTTTATACATCGTTTTAGACTTATTATAGTATTTGAATAGAACATATGTGAACCTAGCGCCAGTGTCGCTATGGTGAGTAAATATAGTGAATTTTAAGGAGTGCATTTATTCAGTTGTGGTTTATGCGCTATCGACGAAGTAGATTTAATTCAACTCAATAAGTTTAAATGAAATGCAAGAAAAAATGCGTATAATTTAATATTCCGTACAAGGAAGTCATGTGGTGTACACATAAGATTTTTAGAAAATCTATTTTGGAAGCTGGCCGAGCAAGCGGCTGTAGTAGAAGTATCTAATGTACTTTTATGCTTCTTCGTTATGCCTAGTATAAATACGTATATTCTATTTCAGATCCACTTTAGCTTCAGCCCACGTGGACCCTCCTCAAAAGGCGACATGGTGGACTTGCTGTTGAATTCCGTTGGAGCCACTCTCTCTGAAGTCAAGGACGTCGAAATAAGGTCTTTATCGTTTGAATTTTAGTCACATGAAAATTCTTAAATTTTATTCAACAAGCTTTTAAGAAATCGTACGGAAAGATTTTTAACTGCGCAAATTCGTGAGAGAATTCGAAACGAGTATTAACTAAACGCAGAAACCAAACTACAAATTTAATAAATAAATTAATTATATTAATTGTAGCGATTCCAGCTTTAGTAATTCTAGTTATTCAAAAAATGCGAAAGAAAGAAAGAAGAAAGTACTTCTGTTCTAAATTTGACAAAATTATTTCAGTAGGAGCCATTTAATGTGGTCCCGTTTGTCCACCACTATTTTGATAACATTAAACAGTCATGAAACATGTCCATCGAAACTGCAATTGAATTTAACTGCGTTAATATATACTAGCGAAAGTAGACTCGATGGCAGTGAAGTTAGATTGAAAGTAATGCATCTAACAACAGAGAGAACGACACCGCTGTAATCCTTCTCTAATAACGATCCAAAAAATACGATTCAGAGTCATACATTTTTTCGTCTGATGCGATATGGAACCCACAGAAAACATTTCGATAGAAAAATAAACTAATTCTCTCTCATTTATCACCAACAATGACACGCAGTTTTTAATGATTTTCGTCTTTCTAATCAAATGCGAGTAAAAGCTCAAATTCCATCCAATATTCCACCTATATACAATTTTAGTCGATTAAATTTGGCAAAAAATCGATCATAATTGATCAGAAATCGATCACGCGAACAAACGCACTCACAAGCAGACATTCTTCTTCATATATATAGCTTTTGTAAAACTTCTGAATTTTTTATTAACCAAGTGTACGAGTTGAAAGCGAGCAGTAGCAACACTTTTCGAAACAAAGCATTTTTCTTTCCAACGTGCGACTGTTGCCATTCGGAAAAATGAGTGTGAAAAATCGGAATTTTAAATTAATATTTTAATTAATATTATAATAGGAGTTTAAAATTAATATTCTCGGCTGATTAAAATCGTACGAAGATGGGAATAGTCCAAATGGCTTCCCACGAATTTCTGGAATCGGAAATAATATATTTAATCTTTGGCGATGCTATTTTTATTTCATCGTAAAACTTAGAAATTTTTTATTAACAGTTTCTAGAATTTGAAAAAGATCAATTGCAACAACTTTCGAAATAATAACATTTATTTTATCTTATTTTAATTCTAAATATTGCACACATAACATGTTCATTATATTTATCACTTGCTGAAATATCTTTCAAATTCTTTAGCATCTTTTAACTGAGTTTCGATTTGTGAATTCAACATTTTAACGTGTTTTCACTTTCACGAATTGTTTCATCCATTTCCTGCAATTCTCCAATGTTTATGTTTTCGATATTTCTTGATAACAAATTTTCTCTATTTTTGTAATTAATTTCGTAACGCTACTGTTACGAAATTTTGTAATTAATTTCGTTCATTCGTACATTTCTGTTTCAATTTTTCTAAAGCTTCCGTGTTTAAAATTGAGAAATTCGCAATGCTGAAACTCAGGTTTTCTTCAAATTTTCAAAGAGAAAAGAAATTGCTTATCGTCTGCTAATCTAATTCCAGATTATGTCGCAAGATTCTATTTGGGAAAGCTTTTGATTTCGATGTCCAATTCAAAATCGAATCATAACTTAAGTCTTAATGACTATTTATTTACGCACATCTGTTATTTTACAATATTTACATAATTCAAGATTAATTTTAAATCAAAAGATCAGGATTATCCCCCTTCGAAATCAAATTCTATTTAAGAGAAGCCGAGTTATCGACCGCTCACTTCAAAGTTTTATTTTTTTTGACTCCCTGTTGCCACTGGCAGAAGCGAAACTTTCGTTCGTTTCGCGTTCGAGTTGTAACAGTGATGAAACAATGGTATCTAGAGCCATCCACTTTTGAATAACGTAATCCTCCTGCGAATATGGGCATCTGGAAGCCCAAAATTGGAATTTATTTTATTACTGATTTCATATTTTGTAAAAATTAACGAATTCTTGATTAGCAAACTCAAAGATTTCCAAGCGAGCAATGGCAACAGTGTACAGGGAAAAAAAAAGGCTTCTTATCTTCAATGCGTGAGACTGTGTATCGGAAATTCTAAAGATAAGCTCATTTTAAAATTATTTTGATGTATTGCTGTTGAATTGAATTTTATGGTTTAAGTGCAAAGAACATTTAATAAATAAAGGTAACACACAAAAATTTTTTAAAAAATTCCTTTGAGCGTAATGTAAAATCTGAAAGCTTTCAGATTTTTTTTTTATATTATAGTTTAATTTTTGTTGTCTTTGTTCACAATATCCACAAACAATTAGCGTGCAGGGGACTCTGGGGAAAATCGTAAATTAAATGTGAATTTGTGTTTGCTTGATGGGTTGGTTTTTGTATTAAGCTGGCATAAAGTTCAACAGTTTGAAGGGAGAGGTTCGGCGCGATCTTCGCACTTAGCTTGCGCAAGTCTTTGTTGCTAAGACAAAAACAATCACAGCCACTAATTGGAGCAATCCATTTTAAAATTTAAGGGAGCTCGTTCTCTAAACGCACTGAGAAAGGAGAAAATAACGCGAATATTTTTTATATTTTAAAAACTTGGTCTAAAAAGTTGAGGGGAAGAGTGAATATGCTGAGAAAGAAGCTAGTTGTAATATTTCTTGTGAACGGGGTCATCGTTAGTTGATTTTCTTACCATCTTTCTTTCCGCTCTAGGCTGGCCTTTTTCGAACGTCGGGGGTTTTCCGCTCATCCACAGGATTTACTGACAGACGTTCGAAGACACTACAGGTCTCAAGTTATCCAGCAAATCTACGTCTTAGTTTTAGGTTTAGACATCTTGGGCAATCCCTTCGGTTTGCTCAAAGACTTCACCAGAGGCCTCGGAGACTTCTTCTATGAGCCGTATTTGGTAAATAATTTTTCATTTTGCCCTCCACTTTAAACGTATATATAACTTAAATATAACGTATATATAAACATCTACTTGGTTTACTGTAGGGATCCGTCAAAGGACCCGATGAATTTGCAGAAAGTTTAGCAAGAGGTGCCCAGAGTCTACTGGGACACGTCATCGGTAAGTGGTATTAACATATTTGCGTAGTAATTTAGTTAGTGGTGCTCGCTAAAAGGCAAAATAAGTCAGAATTAAATCTGAGCTAAATAACAATTATTGGAAGTTCTAATGCAACAAGAATGTGGGTTATATTCATGAACTTTCATTTTTCATCAATATAAGGAGCCAGCTTCTAGACTTCCTTCCTCGTTGTTATTGCCGAAGCACAGGATTCTCTTTCGTTATTTCGCAACTTCGCCAACTGAAGAGTAAGGTTCTGTATTTGAACCTTCGAAACCAGTCCCGCAAATGTATGTATACTATGCTGATTTTTAGAATTACACTGAATATTGCACTGATTCTTTTTGCCTTAGCTCCTCCAATTATAAGTATTAATTAGTAATGCAATGACAGCCTTTTCATTCATATCAATGTTGCCAATGTTTCTAAATTTTCATCATTTTTGCGGATGAAATAATATTGTTTCGATTATTACACGAAGTATTATGTTTATTTTTTACTATGTATTCCAAATAAAGTTAAATCCTTTATTAAGGATAATTAACTCTTTTCATTGAATTCATATGTTATTCGTTGTGAAATAATAAGATCTAGATATTGGAAATTATACAGTAGTATCAGAATCCCAAGATTCTGTGTGTTTTAATGACAAATCAATCGCATATGATTGGTAAAACACTGCAGCACTCATAGCACTAATGACAAATGACACTAATGACAAATCAATCGAATATGATTGGTAAAACACTGCAGCACTCATAGCACTAATGACAAATCAATGGCATATGATTGATAAAACACTGCAACACTCATAGCACTAATGATAAATGACACTAATGACAAATCAGTCGCATATGATTGGTAATACACTGCAGCATTCATAGCACTAATGACAAATCAATCGCATATGTTTGGTAAAACACTGCAGCAATCATAGCACTAATGACAAATCAATCGCATATGATTGGTAAAACGTTGCAGCACTCATAGCCGTGCGCACACACATACGCACAAAAACACAAAAAAAGAAGTTGTAAAAAAGTAGTTTCAACGTTATAGGAGCTATAACTTATTATGGAGTTGGAGTTTGTAGCCTATTTTAATAAAGAAATTCCAAAGAGCTCTAGGAACTTCTGAAAAGTGTTACTCCTTCTGTCTCAAATTAGTTGCTACATTTTAATACTTTTGGACTGATGATTTTATGAAATCGTTTGAATATTTTTCAGAAATTTCCCATTTACTTACCAAGCATTCCCTCCTTAAATCAGTACCAAATTAGTGTAAACAATCCAGGGATAGCACAACCAAAGCACGCCCAATTTTGTAAGGACACTTTCACCAGTAATCGCATAAAACTATCTTCTAGCTAATGAGTTGAGAATTCTTCCCTTAGAAAGTCCTCTACGAAGGCATCTCAGGCAGACAGCTGTCGAGGCTTTCCCTCAATCACATAAACATGATCTTTCTGATATGCTAGTGGTAGAGCCCTTACAAAATGGAGCGTGGCTTAACAGCATGCGAACCCTGTAAATTTGTTTCGAAAATATTATCCCAAAATAAGTACTACATCAGTGGAAACTAAAAACTGCGAATGAAAATACCAAGTTGTAATAATTTTAATCGCAAATAAAACAATTTTAATTGATATATAATTTTACTGGTGTGCCAATCTACTAAACTGCATCGAAACTTATTTATGAGTACACCTACTTGAAATGGTGTCCGCCGATAACATCGCGGCAAAAACGTCGCGGACGAAAACGTCGTGGAGAAAACAACGCAAGACGAAAACATCGTGCTACAAAACATCGTGGGAGAAAACATCGCAAAGCGAAAACATCGCAGTCCTAAAACATCGTGGTACAAAACATCGTCGTCAAAAATAAAGCGGTTCAAAAACTTCGCAGTTTATAACAATCGTCGTCGAAATATCGTGGTAAAAAAATAAAGTATCTACAAATCATCGCATGACGATAAACATCGCAGACATGCTTTAATAACTGTAAATGAATATTCCCATAAAGATTTGAGCGCAAATGTAAAGAAGGATAATTTTTACTTTCACATTTTTTATTAACTAATAATTTTTTTCTGAAAAAGTAAGAAGGAAACTTAAGCATAGAAAATTAAATGCAACTATAGATTATACTTTTCATAAAAAATTACCAGTAAAAACTTTATAAAATTGATTTATTTAATGGCCTTTGTTTGTTAACTATGTCAGTTTAAAATTCTATTAATTGCTATAAGTTGCATTAATTTGCTATGCTTAAGTTTCCTTCTTACTTTTTCAGAAAAATTTATTAGTTAATAAAAAAATATGAAAGTAAATTATCCTTCTTTTCCATTTTGCGCTCACAAATCATTATGCGAATATCCATTTACAGTTATTAACGCATGTTTGCGAAAAGCATGTCTGCGATGTTATCGTCATGCGATGATTTGTAGATACTTTATTTTTACCACGATATTTTCGACGACGATGTTTTTAAATTGAGAAGTTTTTTTGAACCGCTTTTATTTTCGTTCGACGACGATGTTTTGTAACCACGATGTTTTAGGACTGCGATGTTTTCTCTTTGCGATGTTCTCTCCCACGATGTTTTGTAGCACGACGTTTTCGCCTTGCGTTGTTTTCTCCGCGACGTTTTCGTCCGCGATGTTTTCGGCTGTAACCACTTGAAATGTACCAACTAATTTGGGACAAAATTTTTTACCTAAATATAGCAACTAATTTGGGACGAATTATTAACTAATTTAATATGTAACTTGAAACATATAAATAAGTACTTTTATAGAATTCTTTAATTAGGAAAATGCAAAATTACGAACTGTCCACAATGTCTTTACTGCAAAAGTTTATTTATTACGTTTCTGTAAATTATGCAGCAATGGAATTTAGCTAATTTTATATAAATCTGATTACAAACATAACAACACATTTTCACGGCGTCTTAGTTTGTTTACGATCGAAAAATTCATTTTTTACTTTTCTGTAAATTATACAACAATGAAACATAAATCCAACTAGAAACATAAATAGGCAATTTCATTTCACAGCATTTTAATTAGGGAAATGAAAATTTGTTTCTGAATTGTTCATAGCGTCTTTAATGCAAAAGTTCATTTATTACGTTTCTGGAAAATATTTGACCGATCTGTATCCCTAATCATAATACTCAGCGGAAATACTTAATACAGTAAAAATACAGTAAAAAAAAAAGTAATCCGGACTCGTCGGGACTTCGGCAATTCCGGATTAGGGGTTTTATTATATATTATAATTTATATAATATTATTATAGCTACCTAATTATAGCTCATCAATTTAAATGTGGTGAGATGGCATGCAGAAATTATACAATTAAAAATATGAAACCGTAATTTATGAAATAAAGAGCAATTACGATCTAAAGGGTAGCAAATTTTACCAAAAAAAAAAAAAAACCTTAATATTTATTTGTTTATTTTATTAAACATTTCTTTCAACGCGCGCATGCTTAAAGCATACATTACGCGTATGCTTGCAATACATTGCATGCTTTACGCGCTGTATGCTTTACGCGCATGCGTAAAGTTTGTGGCTTTGAGGTCCGGATTATAGATAATTTCGGATAATGGACGTCCGGATTACAGGCTTTGTACTGTACTCCTTTACTGCCTGGAAGAAACAATGTAAGATTAAAAAGTAGGCGAAAAAGAACCCTTGACATTTGTTTGACATAGATGTTTTCAAGGAGTATTTTTCCCTAAAGAAATATATTCCTTGAAAACATCTATATCGCACAAATGTCAAGGGATAAGAAAAAATATTTCTTGAAAACATCTATATCAGACAAATGACAAGGAATAGAATATATTTTCTTAGGAAAAAATATTCTAAAGACTTCGAAGGAAGAGGTATTAATGTCTAATACCCTCAAAGAAAGCCTATAACCAAATTAAGTGTTTTTAGTCCGAAGGGGCAATTTGCCCAGAAATATATTAATATTGTTTTGGCATTTTGCACTGTTTTACTATAAATGTCGATTCACTTTTCAAATTGTTGACACCAAATATTATTGCTCTGTATTTATTATATTTGAAGAAATTAAATAACTAAGAATCGGCATAAATGTATGTATGTTTTTCGCATTGTGGTAAAACAACGGTACCTAGAGCCAGCTTTGAAAACGGCATCTGGAAGCCCAAATTTGGAATTAGTTTTATTATCGATTTCATATTTTGTAAAAACTTTAACGAATTTTTCATTAACAAACTCAACGATTTCAAAGCGACAATGGCAGCACTGTACGGGAAAAAAAAAAAAAAAAAAAAAAAAAAGAAACTTTTTATCCCCAGGGCGCGAGTCTTTGTATCGGAAATTCTAAAGTTATGCTCATTTTAAAATTATTTTTCGATATTGCTGTTAAACTGAATTTTATAGTTTATGTGCGAAGAACGTGATAGTTGATAAGGTAACACGCAAAACGTTAAAAAAAAAAAAAACCTTTGGGCATAATGTAGCTTTCAGATTTAAATTTTTTACCGCTTATTTTAAATGGTTGGCTTAAATCAAAACTAAGATATTTGGCGAACGGCTGTTCAATAACATTTGAACTATATCATTAACGTTGCATATTACTAAAATGTACTTGTTCTTTAAAGTCCTTGATCTGTTCTAAAAATAGTACCGCAGAAGTTTCAGAAATGAAGTACAATTTAAAGCTACTTAACATTTCTATGCATATAAAAAAGTAAAACTGTTTAAAATGCATATCGTTTAACGCTTCCTGTTTTATTTGGAATAATATTTCAAAAATAAAACTCGTGTTGGTTACGACCCAAGCAATACTTAACGGGATAAAGAGCCGTAGTTTGATAATGCATTCAGTTTTCGTCGTTTTAATAAAATCCATTATGATACTTATGCTGGTAATTATAAACTGCATTTACGTATACAGAAGTGCGATTAATACACTAATATCACAATATATGCTTTTTATGCTCCGACAAGTTTTGTCAAGATGCTAATTTTTAGTTCATATACAAGTCGTAAATTCCCTAGCCAGATTCCATTTTTGTATAAATAGATGCATAGAGGACAAAATGGAACAGTTAATTTATTTTTTTTTTTTATCTTTTTCAAAATTTAATTCTTTTAGATATAATTTTTAACGGTAAACGATATTCTGCTAAGTTATAATACAAAAATTATTACTAATAATAATTTATATCCTAATTTATATCACTCAAAACAGAATTGGAAAACTCATTCAAATCATATTTAATCAAAACATTTTACGAAGTTTTGGGAAAAAGGAATTTTGGGTTTGTTTGATTTTTAACGGTGAATTCAATCATTAAAACATTTTTACCGTGTTTCCTCATTCATATAACATTAGCAAAATAATTTACTAAATAATTCTTAGATGTAATAGTATTCTTGTTTATCTTTTGTTATATGACTAAAAATAAATAAAAAAGCGGCTGGTATTCAATATTTATTTTTATTTAATTACAAATACTTGGCTATTGGTACTTATGACATAGTCTTTCCATATTATCACTTTTCTATTAGGCTTTGAAATTATGTTAACGACCTAATAGAATTCCGAAAATCCTATGATTGCATAAAACTGCGAGAAGTGCTAATAATGACGAATTTAAAATGAAAATAGAAATTTATTTAAATAGACTACAATAGAATATAAATTTATTTAAATTGACTATGATTATTCTTATATTCTATGTCATTTCAGTACTATAATTTCAGTTATTAGCTTAAATACTGCAATTTAGTCATATAATTTGTAAGTGGAAGTCCATGATTTTAAATTTATACATAAACGAGCAAATACATTTTGAAAGTTAAAATAATATATTTTTTACGAATTCCTTTAACTGAAACCGTAAGAATCAAAAGGGATTTTTGTGCGTGTCTGCTTTATGCATTTAATGTATAAAATGCGGAAAAGTGAGAAAAATCCATCCAACACAGAGAAATAATTCTTCTAGTCTGTGGTAAGATTGTATCAAATTCATTTAAACTTCCGTTTAAATTCGAAATGCGATCTCTCAAATCAACGAAGGAATACATTTTTGGCTTTAAATTCCACATTAGTAGCAACTGTATAATAGCTAAACTTACCAAAATATTTGTAGAAAACCGCCAAAATTCTAGAAATTGCTATAAAATCCCGAAAAATATTAGGAAGATTATTGCTTGCCAATTCCATGCTGAAAAGATCAAGCGTTTACGAGGATGAGCTCGACTGTTAACGAACAACTTGTGGAAAAAATTCAACGCTAAAATATAAATACGTATGCCAAATTTTCCAAAAATTCCTGATAAATATTGTACTCTCATCGTAAATATATATGGACTTATAATGTGATGAAAACTGAGTCGGTAAAAGAATGGATTAAAATTTAATTTCCCAAAATAAATTGGCCTACTAAAACTAAATAAAATAGATAAGTAAATAGTAAAAAAAATTGTGTAACAAAATAAATAATGATCTTTCTTAAAATACTGCCCAATAAAACATGTCGAATAATTGAAAATTTACAAGCTTGGAAGCTAAAATTCTAAAAAGATTTCGGAAAATTCGGACGTCACATATTAAAAGAAACAAGTCTACAGGCTACAAGTACATAGAAAGACATGGAGGTAGGAAGTAAGAAGGAGTCGCCCTAAACAAGTTTCTCCGTACCCTGCTCTGAAGCACCGGCGATCCCTACGTGGTGACCAAAACATTGGGTCATTTACCATTGAGTTCTATGGATTTGACGCGTTCGGGTGTAAATATTTTGTAATTACGTCGCAAATATACATATAAATGTATATATTTTCTTTTCTACAACACTTCAGAGAGTCCTAAGTATGTGAAAACAACATATTTTTAAACAACATTTCATTCTGAACGGAATTAAATGCTATACTTTTCACAGGACAGTTTTCTCAGAATGGTTTAATTTGAATGAAATATTTTCACAATTTTTCGTTAATTACATTAGAAAAAAAATTAAGGTAATTCGATTTTATTCGGTTAAGGTACAAAAATTAAAATCAAAGTTTATTGTATTATTAATATTAAAATTATGCATTATTTCTTTTCTATTTATAGAGCTTCTTCCTAAATACTTTCTTCTTTTCTTTTCTAAATACTTTTTTCTAAAATACTTTTTGACTTTCTCTGAACATTTCTGAAAGGGAATAAAATAAGTTTTTTTTTTTTGGAAGTATTATTTAAAACTTGTAACTGAGTTATTATAAAATGTAAAGGGAATAATTCTTTTAATTATACTTATCAGATTTTTTTTTTACCCTTCATTTCAACAATACATATTCCAAAACTCTTTATTACGTTCTTAAGTGCGCATCTCATAGCATTTGCTTACAATACCTTTTAACAGATTGCTTTCCAATACGAACAATTCTTGCTTTTTATAACGTATTTGTCAACAGGATCTCAATTTATGTTTACAATGCAATAGTAAGGTTATTATATATTTAGATAACATTTATAATCATTATAAATTAGATACATTTAATCATTAGATTTCTTCACAGTACTTTCACAGTTGTTTATAAGTGAATAAATTCTTCATTTCAAGTACATTTATAAATAATTTAATGAATATTAAGTATTTTGTCAAAGGCAGATACATGCTTTTTGCAAGCACATGTATAAATACCCATACATATTTCCTATTTATCATTTCCGGCATGTGCAAATCTTTAATTTCTTTGCATTCACTATATTTTTCGTGTAAAGTAATTTTACTCTAATTTAGCATACACCCGAAAGTTTTACATAAAAATATATATGAATATAATTTGAATGAAAATTATAAGTATTATTTTTAATATCCCACTCAGAAGGTCAGTTTTTCTTCAAAATTCCCCCACGAATGGCATCTCTCTCTTTAGGCAGATAGCCCTTGCATGCGTTACTCTATTTAATAAAAACTTAATCTGACCTATGTGCCTAATTACAAATATTTTAACATACATAATTTTATATTTACATTTAGCCATCAAGTTTCAAACTTTTCAAATCTTCTAGAAAATAAATTTTGGCAGATCTCTTTTAGCAATTTTCTTAAAATCTATATTTTTGTAGTGCACAGCTTAGAATTTTATAAAACAAATTCATAATCAAAATCGCTGTTGTTAGTTATCGAAAATAACCAAGATGTGATTTTTGCGTAAATGTCAGTAAACTATACAAATTGCTATTATCCATCACACTATGAATGTTTCTTTCATGCGAGAGTGTCCCTTTCGATTTCTATGGAACTGTCGTGTGTCGAAATACTATCAGAATTTTGTCAAGCGAGCTTCTGAATGTAAACAAAAAACACCCCGTCTGGTGACCCAAGCTTCAAAGCAGTGCTTCACTTCTAGCGCGGAATGGCCCCTCCTCCCTTTCCTACCTCCATGTAGAAAGAGGAGGGAGACGAAACTAAACGCAAAAAGTACTTCTTGCCATTCAATAGCGGGGAGGCAATTTTATGGCTTTATCCATCACCTCCATGCATCACACTAAGGGGAAGCAAACATACTGCCTTAGGCTGGGCCATCTTAGAGAGATTTCAGAAAACGAAAGCGATTTTTTGGAGGGGTTTGTTGACTGACAACACGGTCATTTTCGTTCCGAGGGGCGGGCTCGTTAATGGGTTAAGACATAAACACTTAGTTGGCGATATTTTTCTGTAAACTGGCAATTTTTATAATGCATTTTAAACTCGTTTGGCGAATTCTTTCATCTTGATCCTGTTCACCGAGCTGTTGATCCTAATAAGCGATATATTTCCCATATTTTCGTATACAAACGGACAAAGCAGCCTGGATGGCAGTTTTCAAGATCTGTTAATGGCAGTTATCGAGATCTATTAATCCCAACATGTCTGATGTGTCATGTATTCCTTTTAATAATGAATATTTCTTCTTCAGGAGGATCTGCCGGAGCCATTTCCCTAGTCACCGGATCTATTGGACAAACGCTATCGGTCCTTACGTTTGATGACGATTATAGAAAGGTATGTATACCATGTGTCTGCTTATGTCTAAATGTTTGTATTTGTCCTTTTTCTTCACTTTTATGGTTTTAATTTTTATTATCATATTGTAGAAAAATTAGGTATTTTTTTTTGGAAGCAGGCAAGATGAAAAATGAGCAATCGCCTTCGCCGGGAATCGAACCACGGACCTCTGCAATACCGGCCCAGTGTGCAAACAATTACACCACAAAGGGTCGCCAAGAAGGTGGGAGATATATCTTATAATACACTCTTAGACCAAAAAAAAAAAAAAAAAAAACGACGCACCAAGAAGGAGTTATCCGAATGGGACGAAAATCGGTAGAAGTGATGCACATGTACAGAAAAACAAGTGATTACAGTTTGGGGAAAATTGTATGATTTATTGAAGTGATACAGCTTCACAAAGTGAAGAAGTCAGTAACGCGTTTGTCCATTTCTGGCTCTTAAGCAAGCAGTTATTTGGCTTGGCATCGATTGATAGAGGTTACGGATGTCCTCCTGAGGGATATTGTGCCAAATTCTGTCCAACTGGCACGTTAGATCGTCAACATCCCAAGCTGGTTGGAAGGCCCTGCCCATAATGCTCTAAACGTGCTCAATAGGAGAGAGATCCGGCGACCTTGCTGGCCAAGGTAATGTTTGGCAAGCAGTAGAAACATGCGCAGTGTGGGGGTGGGCATTATCTTGCTGAAAATGTAAGCCCAGGGTGGCGTGACATGAAGGGCAACACAACGGGCCTTAGAACTTCGTCGACGTACCACTGTGCTGTAAGGTTGCGACGGATGACAACCAAAGGGGTCCTACTATGAAATGAAATGGCACCCCAGACCATCAGTTCTGGTTGTCGGCTTGTCTACCGGAAGACAGGTTGGTATCACACCGCTGTCCGGGACGTCGCCAGACTCGCCTTGGCTGGTCATCGGGGCTCATCACTGAAGACTATTCTACTCCAGCCTGTTATATTCCAATGCGAATGAGCCCGACACCCCTGCAAAAGGTATTCACGTTGTACAGGGGTCAATGGTAGTCAGCGCAAGGGGCGCCGTGACCTCAGCTCCCTTTCTGTGAGCCGTCTATGAATGGTCCTTGCGGTCACTGAAGCACTAGTTGCACGTACAATCGATGATAATGATGCATCTGGAGCTGTGAGTGCTTATCTGACGATTGCTTGGTCTTCACATTCTGTCGTTTTTCTAGACCTACCGCTTCCTTCTTGACGCTGTGTGCGGCCATGGCTCATCCATTCCTGCCAACATCGTCTAATCGTGGCATCGCTCCTGCTCAAATGTCGAGCTATTCGCCGATAAGACCAACCGGGTTTTTTGAGCTACACGACCTCTCTCATATTCTGACATCTGCGCATATCGTTCGCGCACCTGTATGCGAGGCATAGTTACTGTCATCACGGAATGAAATTCCTGAAGAATTTATGACCTGCAATCGTAATTTTTTCTCTTAAATATCCTGCCAGTTGCGCAGATCAGATGCGCTGTAGCGACAACCGTTCCTTCATTGGCAGCCAAAATGTAAAATTTTGCATTTTCCGTCGAAACCTGCATGCATATCAATTTGTGTCCAATTTGCTTTATATCTTCTAGGTGCGTCTTTTTTTTTTTTTTTTTTGTCTAAGAGTGTATGATTATTTTCATTTAGTTATTTTAGTTTTCAGATATTGTCCTTTGTTGAATTGGGCGTGGCTTGTTATGAGCATGAGACCAACTTGTTTGGTGAGGTGGGTCGGGGCTGCGCCCACTACTACTACTACTGCTACTACTACTACCATTTTGGTTTAGTCCATTGTTTCCTCAACTTTCACCTTGCACTTCCTAAGTAATTGTTATCAACAGAGGTTTTTCACCTGACATGACTCAACAAGCAGTTAAAAATTTCTCATGTCGACACATTAAAAAAACTTTTTTGTATTAGAAAACTAGCCGCTAAGCGGCCAACCTTCGTCTGGCTTTTAGATGTACCGGAAAATGCCTAAAGGGAACACCAAACATTAAATTTAAACACTGTACAATTTTACTCTACAGGAAAAAAAAAAAAAACCCACAAATTTCTATAAAATGCATTATATATAAAAAGGTCGCCCAGTGATTAGCATCGCTGACGGCCGTGCCAAAGTGCCCTGGTTCGTCAATTCTGCTGACAATGCACTAGCGAAGTAAAGCACTGCGGTTTTACATAATTTCTGAGTAAGCTATTCGTACGAATTGAAATAATTCTTGCATTTAAACTTGTATTCCAAATTAAGATTTAACTTGAAATTAATGTAGATAATTACTGAGAGAATTATATTTTTGTAGCTCAGTTTACGTGAGATGAGAGGCCTTGGATAAGATTAAATATAATTTGAAAATATAACGCTGATTTTTGTTGTTTGACTTTACTAGTCATTGAATTAGCTTGACTAGTTTATCTATGTCACAGAGTATGTACTGCCCCTTTTAGACAGATTTACAAACTAATTTTGGGTAAAATAATCTCCAGGAAGTGGAAGACAAATTATTTTTCTATTGATTTTGTTAAAGGAAATAACTTCCGTAATTAATTTTTATCGTGAATATAACACACTAATAATTCATATTTAAAATAATTAAACTTCTTTTGAATTCTCTTTTATTATTTTTTTATTTTTTTTTTATTTTTTTTTTTTTTATTTATTTATTAATTTTTTTCTGGGACAGCATATGTAAACAAAATTTGGAAATGGCCCTTAAACATGAAGTAAAAACATCGCTTCCCCACATTGCATTGTCATCGAGATACACTGCATATACGAAATTTGTACGCCATAGCCTATCAGGAAGTAGTTTAAAAATCTCTGACATAATTCCACCTATAGTGAATGAATTAAATCAGAGTTCCTTAAACTGTGCATCGCGACCCTCAAGGGTGTCGCAGGACCTGCAGCAGGGGATCGCCAAAAATTTTTAGTTGTTTTGATATTTCATTAACTTATTATAATAATTTTACAATTACCTAATATTTTTACGCAATATATCTAAAAATATATAAAGATAAGACAATACAGACAAAGAAAACAACGAAAACGTTTCGACGCGTTCTTTTTATAATAGTGTTACATTATTTTGTTCCTTCACGTTCGTACGGGGTTCGTAGATTTGGAGTGAATAATCACGACACTTGGTGAAGTATCGAAACACACTTTATTTACCAATATCGTCAGGACAGCTCCAAAACACGTTTTACAGTCGTCATGAACACGCTGACACGATCAGCGACACAGCCTTCAGGTTATCAGGCTATCACGGTGGAGATAGCTTTACTGCAAAGCACCCAAGTACAGCTCCCGACTCTGCTTGGTCGTTCTCGGAACTTCACGTACTCTCAAGACTCTCCACGCGACAACTCGCGATGTACTCGACGACACACAGAGCACAGCTCCCGACTCTTCGGTTCAGTCGTTCCCGGAGCTCAACACGCTCTCTCGACAATTCACTAACCGCGATACACTACGAAACTCTTTCGGTGCACTCGACGACCCACTCGGCACTCGCTGCCCGGCTGTCAACTCGATCGACTCCGCAGGGATTGACTCGCTAGAGGAGACACCAACTCGATACTAACTAACGCTTCGATACTAAATAACTTCATTTTTCATTCTTCCTCAGATAGTTTATTAGCTACTTTTTTCATCCTTTGATTCTTCAGAAGCCACTTCTCTCATATCCACATCGTCTTTTATGGCTGTTTCTTTTGTAAACTCCACTTTTACCTGTTGGAGTTGCTCTCGTACCTTTTCGTGGCCAACATTTATTTCTTTTCGCCGGGCTTTCTTCTCTTCCAGTCAGGCTTTCATCTCTTTCAGTGCAGCTTTGATTTCAGCTTTCATCTCTTCCTGTCTGGCTTTCAACTCGGCTAAAAGGTCCATCAAAGACTTCATTTCTTCCGTCATGGCTTTCCTCTGCAGGCGGGTCACTGGCATTCACTCGCAAATCACACTTCTGACACCAGTTGTTGCGTTTTTCTTTTCTGACACCAGTTGTTACGTTATTTTCTTCCTTCACGTTCGTACGAGGTTCGTGTGGATTTGGAGTGAATAACGACGACACTTGATCAAGTATCGAAACACACTTTATTGGCCGGTGTTAATCAGAACAGCTTCAAAGTCACGTTTTACAGTCGTCGAAGAACTACTATAAACACGCTGAAACGATCAGCGACACAGCCTTCACACTGTCAGGCAATAACGGTGGAAACAGCTTCACTGCAAAGCACCAGAGTACAGCTTCCGACTCTGCTTGGTCGTTCTCGGAACTCCACGTACTCTCGAGACTCTCCACGCTACAACTCGCGATGCACTCGACGATACACAAGAGTATAGCTCTCGACTCAGCACAGTCTAAGACAAAACTCGATGATGCACTCATTCGCGATACACTAAAAGTCTCTCTTGATGCACTCGACGACACACTCGGCGCTAGACTTCGAGACACTCCTCAAGGACGGACTATCAGCTCGCTAGACGAGACACACACTCGATACTAACTCTCCGCGTACCAGCAGGGTTTATATAGCTTTCGGCTGGTGTTCGAAAACATTTTGGACTAAACCGGTAAGAATTCGTTCCAGAAGGTTCTCCATCATGACATATTGCCTATTTTGTCACCAAATGGGCGATTTCTCGCCAAATGTGGCAACTTTGCCTTCCCTTGCCATTTATGGCAACCCTAAAACTGCTTTGTGGGGAAGCCATCTCACCGCGCCTTGACTTCGTAACAATATAAACGTTGATTTGCCTTGCTTTGCACGCGACGCTGTCATTTCGTCTGTTACTTATTTAAAATTTTCACATTGTTCTATGTCTTAAAATTAGAAATTAATGACCTAAAACTGCAGTAGTATATTACACTACAAGTGAAAAAATTGACAGTTTCACTCACGCGTGTGTCGGATTTGCGCAATACTTATGGGGTGCCACAAAAGTTTCGTAAATATTATGGGGTCCTGGGGGTCGCGAAAAACCTAAGTGATAAAAAGGGGTCGGGACTGAAAAAAAAGTTTAAGAAACCCTGAATTAAATAAAAGCTTATATGGTATTTCTGCCGCTTTCTTAGCGAGCCTTCGTGGTGTAGTGGTCTGCACGCTAAGCGTGTAATTGGTCCGCGGTTTGATTTCCGGCGAAAGCCTTGAATATTTTCCATGTGGCCTGCTTCCAAAATATACCTAATGTCTCTACGAGCTTCTAATAAATGTTCTGTTCTAAAATCGAGCTCTATTTTTCAGAAGCGACAGCAGAGGTTGCAATTGCAAACGCATTCCCTCCCCGATGCTTTGTGCACGGCTACTAAAAGCTTTATATTCGGAGTGGTTCTTGGTTTATCGGGTATCGTCGTCCATCCCGTTACCGGTAAGTGTCAAACAGATGTGTTTTCGGAATGTTTAACGTTTACGCTAATCCGTTTCAATTATGAATTAGTTGTAGCCATGAGGTTGCAAAGATTTTAATTAAGTCCGAGTTTGTATTGTTTTCATTACCATTAAAAACGAACGTGAACAACCCATCAAAAATATTAATTGTAATTCAGATTGTGATTCAGATATGAATAACTTTTTTTCGTACTTGTTAAAAAATAAATAAAAATCTTTGTACTTTGTTTGGGAGTATATTTTGTTATTTGAATAGATTTCTTTCTTGCGAGCTGAAAATTAATAACGAAAGAACTTTTGTGACTGATCTGCACAGCGGGGGGGGGGGGTAGAGGGACAGTTCTATATCTCCCGTTCTATTGGACCGATTGACAAAATTCAAATTGCGTTTTCCATGCCTCGAAAGCGCGACTAGGATTATATATAGGATTGCTCTAAATAGGTGTTTTGACGCAAAATGGGACTTTTTCTGAAATCGCATACCAATTTTTTTCCATATTTCAATTCTACGACTCAAATTATACCAAACTGCCAAGTTTCGTAAAAATTGCCTGAGTAGTTCTTAAAAAATTAACTCCCAAAATTTTAGCTCCTCCATGTTAATTGAATTTGATATATATTTACTAATATCTCTTTTTTTTATTAAATTTTCTTGATTCCTTCTTCCAGGCCTACCAGCGGCCAAGCGGTAAAGTCGCTGAACACTGGTAGTTCGTCCGAGGTTCGAATCCCGCGAACGGGCTGGCTGCATGGGCGTTTTCGTGGTTTTCCCCATGTGTAACATGTATACGAGCCAGTTTCTCTTAAAAAGTCCTCCACAAAGGCATCCCTCCCCGTAGGCTTTGCCATAATCACACACACTCCTTCTTCCAGACTTCGAAATTTAGGTTTAATCCGAATATAATTCGCATATTTTTTATTTATTTTTAAAATTTCTATTTTGAAATATTTTTATAAATTTTTCGAAAAACATTTTGTATATATGCGAAACTTTTGTAAAAAACCTATAAAATTTTCAACATCGTTATAAAGTAGATGCATTTCTACGCATGCCTGCAAAAAATTTCCTAGGACACACGTGAATTTACATTTTGGCACGTTTTGAAGTTTCGTGACACTAAAGAAATTGTGATTTACGCACTTTGCCCAAATTATTTGAAAATATGACCGATGACTTCTTCCCCCTCGTGTGCAATAAAAAAAGCGAAAGGAAAATAGGTTGCTATAAATTAAGAAGTTCGCCATGTGAATTATTCTTGGTGCAAACTGAAAAAAAATGCAACGAGTTAAATTTTTGAATTTCTCCATGCATTTCGCACCAAATTTTATAACATTTAATATTTATGCATAATTTGACTTGTAGAAACGAAATATGGAAAAAACAATTGATAAGTTAATTCAGAAAAATTGGTATGTATTCAGAAAGGAGGTGAGCTGAAAAGTTTGTGTCAAAATACCTGTGTTAGAATAATGCTATATATAAATCTAATACATACCCTAAGCCGCGCTTTTTGAGACATGAAAAACGCAATTTGAATTTCATCAATCAGCTCAGTAGAACCAAAGGAGCAAATTGCCTTGAAGGACTACTAATTTCGTTTTGGCATTTTGCGTCGAAAACTTTAAAAGGCTGTATCACTTTTCAGATCATTGCCACTGTATATTATATATTATCGCCCTTTCTTGTATTTAAAGAAATTAAATAATGAAGAATCCACATAAATGTACGAATGTTTCTCGCATTGTGATAAAACAAGGGTACCTAGAGCCATCCAAATTTGATTAAGGTAATCTTCTATAGAATATGGGCTTGTCGAAGCCCTAATTTAAATTTGAAATTTGTTTTATTAATCGATTTCACATTTTGTAACACTTCAACGAATTTTTGATTAAAAAAACTAAACGATTTTAAAGCGAGCAATGGCAACACTGTACGGAAAAAAAAAAAAAAATATCTCCAGCGCGTGAGACTCTGTATCGGAAATTCTAAAGATATGTTCACTTAAAATTAATTTGCGATATTGCTGTTGAACTGAATGTTATAGTTGAGGACGTAGAACATGATATTTAATAAATAAAGGTAACACACAAAACGTTAAAAAGACGCCCCTTCGGACGTAATTTAAAATCTGAAAACTTTCAATTTTTTTTTTGGGGGGGGGGAGTATACTTTAATAAACTGAGACATATTGCTTTGACATTTGACGTATGACAGTTTTCATTTGCATGTATTTACAGTATTTGTCTTTTCTAGCTATATGCTGTAAAAAGCCTTTTTTTTAGCTATATGCTGTACTTTAATATCAGTATCACTAATTAGTACCGATTCTCATTCTAATGACAAGTGCCAGATACATTGTAATGAATTTCCAACAAGAGCCATTGACAGTTGCTTCATTTCAGGTGGTCAACAAGAAGGCGTGGAAGGCTTTTTTCGCGGCATCGGAAAAGGCTTACTAGGCCTTATTACAAAGCCTGCAGGGGGTGTCATGGACATGGTGAGCATGGCCTTTGATGGTATCAGGAGGTGAGCTGAATATCTTTATGTTTCAAAACCTTTGAGAAAATATCAAAATAAATATTATTAAATTCCCCCCCCCCTCCATTTCTTTTAATAGAGCTGCAGAAATGGGAGAGAGAGTTGTTCTGAGAATGCGCTTACCAAGATACATTAACCCTACTGAAGTAAGTTAACTAACTACTGTGTCTTTTATTAAAGGAAGTGATAATCTTGTACATGTTTAAGTCTCAACTGAATGTAATATTCTTTTTATTGAATTAGTTCTGTTTCCGCGATTCCTCTTTCCGCGGTTTTCAAAATTCTTCCTGTTCCCGCGAAATCGGAGAGTACAGTACCCCTTCCACAGCTCCTCAGGAGATGTCGCGATGAGTCATTGAAGAGCTGGGCAGTTTCTTTGTGAATAAGTTACTCTTCGTGAGATTGAAGAACGTGTCTTAGTTTAGGCTCCTTTTGATATCTTATGTTTCATTCCATTTGTGAATCTGCTACAATATTAGTTGTTATTTGCACATCTTATATTACTCAATACGAATGTTTTAGACATTATTAAAACTAAAAGGAAAAATACCTTTAGCCCGTTATAAAGGTTATCAGTATCGAATTCACAATAAAATTAAGGAAAATGTAGTTTATTGGATTTGCATAAATGAAAGAATTAAAGGCTGCAAAAGCGCAATTAGGACCAAAGAAGTCGTCGCTTTAGTAGAAAGAACGCCGTTTTAGAACGAATATTTATTCTGAAAGATTTTATTCTAACTCACCTTTATGCAGAATTTTGGAAGAAGATTGTTTTTTACTTTAGGAAACAATCTTTTAGTTCAACGCCAAAATCATTGTAGAGTTTGAACATCTCCTTCTGCCCTTTTAAATACAGTATTATCTTCATTCATGCAAAGATCTGAGATCGTAAGTATTTTTCGATTATTTCTTTTAAAAATTCTTCTTTTTAAATCGAAAAATTTTTTGATTTCCTACCTTTCGGGAGAGGCCAAGGTCCACTCGGACCCCCGCACTATGTAACCCCTTCGGGAAGGGGGTAATGTAGATTGATGATTTCGCGGAAACAGGAATCACGGAAAAAGAGAAACCCTTTTTATTAGAATGAAACAAATTTACGTGAACAAATGGAAAATACAGTAGTTCTCTTCACCTAAAAACAAAAGATTTATGGAACTAGTTAAAATCACAAATAAAATGAACTGGACATGGTAGGTTTCAGTTCTATTTCAACCGATTTAATCTGCAGGAAAATAAATTATGTAATAGTTGCCAGGTTGATGGTGATGCTAGGCATTTCGTGGTTGATTGTAGTTTAACAGTCCCTATTAGACAGATTTTTAACATTACTGATTTTAATGTAAGTGTCATTAATTTTAAAGTTTTTAAATCATATTCTATTGCTCTAATGAAGTTTATCAATGGAAATAGGGCGCTCGTAGGAATCTTCTGTTAAAATTGAATTTTGCGTTTGTATGGGTTTTGGATATCTGTGGTGTTCTATGTTGTGAATTTGTGTTTATAGATTTTTTTTTTGTTTGCTTGTTGCTCTGTAATTTTGTATTAGATGTGCTTACTTATTTTTGATTTAGTATTTTTGTTTGTTGTTTGGGGGTGGCTGGGTTACTGGCTACCCTCGTTTGTGGAGATACGGGGCCCCTTCTTTTGAGCTATGGGGACACTTGTGTCCAGGTGGGCTGAAGGTAGCCTCCAATTCTTACCCTTTTTATTTACTTGCTTGTTTTTCGGGACTTGACGGGGGAGGGAATTCCTGCATCGCGGATGGTTTTAAAAAGTTGTCGTCAAGTTTTACGCCACCCGCTTGAATCAGTCATCAGCATTAACAATTTCACCGTACTAACTAAAAAACTTAACTTAGCGGTGCAGCAACCCTAGTGGGCCACCTCCTTTCTGCTTTCTTGACCTTTGGGCTCTGGAGCGCATCAGCGTATATGCCCTGGGCAAGTGGTCAGCTTGTCGCAGAACCCCGGTGTTTAGTCCCCAAGCGACCTTGGTACTCATTTTATCGACTCACTGATGATTTTGGCGATAAATTAAAGTAAAAAACAATATTCTTCCAAAATTCTGCATAAAGGTGAGTTAGAATAAAATCTTTCAGAATAAATATTCGTCATCATCATTACTGACTCATCGCGTTATCTCCGGAGGAGCTGTGAGATGGGGACTGTACTTTCCGATTTCGTGGAAGCAGGAAGAATTTTCAAAAACGTGGAAAGAGGAATCGCGGAAACAGAACTAATTCGAAAATCAGGGGCCGGTCTCTCGCGATACCAAAAAAAAAAAAAAAAAAAAAAAAAAAAAGACTATATACAAGGTGTGACACAAAAAAAAGCTTGAAAAAAGAGTGGAGTTGGCAACAACTGTTTTGCTGACGTCATACCACACATCTTCTCGACCCATGCGGTCAGTTTCGACTTAACCGATCACATCACTTGCGACAACTGCGTCATTGAGTGAACACGTGCAACCGCATTCTGCCGGAAAAAATTTCTAATGTAAAAACCGAACAGCGAATCAACATCAAGTTTCGTGTGAAACTTAAGAAATCGGTCACGGAGGAAACATTTCAAATGTTAACCGAGGCTCACGGAGATGAATCTTTGTCTCATGCACGTGCGTTTGAATGGCATAAGTGGTTTTCAGAGGCTAGGACAAAGCACGCATGTCAAAGTCAAAATTCAAGGCAATGTTAATTATTTTCTTCGACATTAATGGAATTGTAATGATTGAGTGGGTTCCCAGTGGTCCGACTGTTAATCAACACTACTACACTGAAGTACTAAAAAGATATCTTGAAAAAAATTTGGGAGAAAAAGCCACAGTTCTGGAGTGATGGATGGCTGTTGCACCAGGACAATGCACCCGTTCACACGGCCCTATCTGTCACGCAATTTCAGACCAGCAAAAACATTACTGTGATGGGGTATCCTCCTTATTCACCTGACTTGGCTTCATGCAACTCTTTTTTATTTCTTAAAGTTCAGTTTTGCTTAAAGGGAAGCCATTTTACCTCAGTTGAAGAGGTTCAGGCAAAAACGGAAAATCTCCCGAAGGGCCTTCCAAAACGTCGTTCCAGAACTGTGACCAGCAATGGCAGCACCGAATGCAGAAGTGTGTGAATGCTGAAGGGAACTGCTTTAAAGGAGGTAATGTCACGAAGAACTGATTATGTGAGTACAATAATTTATTAAACTAGTCTCGTTTTTTTTTTTTTTTTTTTTTTTTTTTTTTTTTGTGTGTGTGTGTGTGTGTCACACCTCGTATTTTTAAATTCATTGTAAGTACTTGTCATATGTTAAGTACTTTTTACACAGTTTGTCATATGTAAGTACTTAGTGAGTATGAAATAAAAATCTTATTAATCACTCAGCATTTTTTTAGTTTGGGGGCGGCAATCCTAAAAATGTACTTAGTAATACTTACAATGAGTACTTGGTAATACTTACAATGAATTTAATACATTGCAAGTACCATGTGTAAGTACTTTTTATACAATTTTTCACATGTAAGTACTTACATAAAAATTTTATTAATTATTGATTTTTTTTTTTTTTTTAATTTGGGGGCTGGCAATCCTAGGAAAGTACGTGGGTAGCCAATGGCCCAGGAACGGCCCTGAAACTTGTTCTTAAATTATTTCCTAAAACGTGTCGTTTACATCTAAAATGTATAACCAGGAACGTCTTTTTTTAGGGCCTTCGACCTTATTCCCCTTACCTAGCATCTGGTTGTCACTTGATGGAACAAGTCAGCAAGGGCCACTATGCAGAAACAGATATCTACTGGGCGCATGCGCCTCTTGATGGGTCCAGAGTAGCCTTGCTGACAAATAGGTGAGTTTTGTGTTATACGAATCAAATACTCGATGTACACTGTACCTCGATGTACACTGTGCAAAAAAATATGGGACAGTTCTATATCTCCTGTTCTAAAGGGCCGATTGACGAAATTCAACTTGCGTTTTTCATGTCTCGAAAGCGCGACTTAGGATATGTATTAGATTTATATATAGCATCGTTCTAATATAGTACAAAGTCTTTAATTCGTACGTCCCTAATCCGGAAAGATCTATAATCCGGACCTCAAAGCTACAAACTTTCTGCGCATGCGTAGCATTTACGCATGCGCGTTTAATGTATAAAGGACGGTATAAGCTAGGCTAAAATTATCTATTTCAGTTAATGTTGCAGATTGCGTTGTTCCTTAATCTTCTAATTGGATTTGGCTTATTATTTTTTGCAAACTGTTAGAGCAATTTTATAAAAAGTAAGCTTGAACTTTCGATTATGTCAAAAAGAGTGTCCGATTCTGGAGCTGCCAAAGGATCTACAAATCGAAAGCATGTTTCGATGTCCATCAAACAAAAAGTGGAATTGCTGCAAAAAATGGATAAAGGCATGAAGAAAGTGACAGAGAAGTTAGTGAAAACGAAAAAAATTTCAATTGACAAGTTAGTCGGTATTCTCGGCACAGCAATTACAGGACTTGAACAGCGGAACTTTGTAACTGAACAAGAAATTATGTCTGTTTATACGAGGCCATCCAGGAAGTAGATTACGTTTCCGTCTGTGTCCGCTAGGGGCGGGGCTAGCGCGGCCATCTTTGGGGTCAGAGCGTTGCGCAGCTCAGTCTGCATCTAGCCGTGCTAGTGAGAGGTTCGTGCTGTGCTCCGTTCAGATACTGTGACGGTTTGAAATGTCTGCGTTAATTGAAAATCCCGCGAGCTGCGAGGTGCGCTCAGTAATCAGGTTTCTGACTGCAAAAAACTGTAAACCGATAGAAATCTATCGGCAGCTTCGTGAAGTGTATGGGGACAACATTATCACTGAAGGTGGAGTGCGTCAGTGGGTCATAAGATTTCAAAATGGCCGAACCAATGTTCACGACGAAGATCGAAGTGGGAGACCCAGCATAGTGACCGCCGAACTTCTCGAAAAAAGTCGATGCTAAAGTCCGTGAAATCGAAATTTCACAATAACGGAACTTTCTTTGAGTTTTCCACAAATTTCGCGAAGTTTGTTGCACGAAATCATCAGCGAAAAGCTTGGTTACCACAAGTTTTGTGCAAGATGGAAGGCAAGAAGAGGTAACGAAGTGGTTGAAGGCGCAGGCGGCGGAATTTTTCGACGAAGGAATTTCCAAGCTCGTACATCGCTACGATAAATGCCTTAATTTGTATGGTGACTATGTAGAAAAGTAGTATTTGAGTGTGGCTTTCATCTGTATATAATAAAATTTGTTTCCTATACTTTGTTTATTTTTTTATTCCAAAACGTAATCTACTTTCTGGATAGCCCTCGTACTTTCTCTTTAATTCTACGAGCACATAAAACGAATTATTAGCACATAAAACGAAGCAACTTAAACAACTTACATTGAAAGAAATGTTTAATAAAGTAAACAAATAAATATTAAGCTTTTTTTTATAAATTTTGATACCCTTTAGATCATAATTGTTCTTTATTTCATAAATTACGGTTTCATATTTTTAATTTTGTAATTTCTGCATGCCATCTTACCAGATTTAAATTGATAATCTATAATCCGGATTAAAGACTTTGTACTGTAAGTATTTTGACACAAAATAACATACCAGTTGTTTTCTATATTTCGTTTCTACGACTCAAATTATGCCTAAATATTAAATGCTGTAAAATTTGGTGCGAAACTTATGGAGAAATTTAAAAATTTATCTTGGCGGATTTCAAGTGTGCCAAGAATAATTCACTTGGCGAACTTCTTAATTTATAGCAACCTATTTTCCTTTCCCTTTTTTCATTGTCCACGAGCTGTCACGCCAAAAATTTAAACAAGTAGGTATTACAGACTTACATTTTACTTTCTTGCCAGGCATATGTTCCTTCTCGAAAAAGGCCGTTTCTGGGGTGGCTGGGATATCGAGTGGGTCGTCAGCGTAGACGATGTTCTGACCGTTCCTCACATACAAGGAAACAACCTAGTTATCAAAGTGAAGCAGGTGAGTACAAAATGACTTTCCTATTCTGGTGAATGCTGCTTAATGTGATCATTATAGGCTACTGTTATCGAATTGCGAAAGCCTCACGTGTTTGTACATGAAAAGTGGAAAATACGTTGCTTTCGTATATACGGTTCAAATGCAACGTATGATGCATATATTTTTTAACGTTATATACATACGTATATACATATATTTTTTTTTAACCTGAAGTAAAATCTCCAGCTAAAAGATAAATTCGCCAATCAAGGTCAAAATAGATTATTTTAATTATCAAATGCCTGGCCATTGACCATCAGGTCATTAAGCAACGAGCTCTCCAATAGTTCTTTACAATACAGTTCAAACTCTTAAATGCAGAGCACACGTCCAGATGAGGAGAGTCCATGACTTGTTCAGACTCACACAAAGCACATAAAGGTGAGGCAGTCTGATTAAAATGAAACAAATAAGCACCAAGGCAGTCATGTCGAGTCAATAGGCTAAACCAGCAGTCGTCAACCCTTAGAACTTCACAGACCACTTCATATATAATTTTACATTTGGCGGATCACTAATATGAATTAAAAAAGGTATGCAATAATAATCAGCAAACTATACATATTTTGTTCACATTGAAGTAAAAAATCACAAAAAAAAAAGTCACAAAGTAGTAGCTAAAATTTAAAAAAAAAAAAAAGTATAATCTATATTCTATAATAGGTTTTGTTATTTTTTAACTGGATCTTCATAAAAATATAAATAATGTCCCAATTTTTCTGCGGACCAGAAAAACATTCTCACGGACCCGGTGGGCGACCACTGGCCTAAACTCATATACAGCAGTAGCATGAGGACAGTCCGAGACACAGTTGGCTTTTAAAAACACCCTCCATGACTTACTTTCAGTAGCATTAAGAGCAGCATCACGAAAGGATTTTTATAAATCCTATTGATTTCAAGTTCAGTGCAGTAAAGAGATAGGTCTCTGGAAGACCTTTGGAAAATATCTGTACCCTTTTTTGCCAAAAGGTCCGCCATCTCATTTCCCCAAAGGCCACAATGTGATGCCACTCACTGGAAAGCAACCTTTGTCTGAATTCTGCTCAACAGCTCTCGAAACGAGCACTTTCATTCGCTCTTCCAACACTGTTGTAAATTCAGATTGGAATTCTAATATTCTTCTTTTCTGCCTCTCAGAGTGGAATGCAACCCTATGTTATATGGTAATTATTGCTCATCTGGATACTATCACCCCTCTTAATTTGTAAAAGTAATTTAGAATCGCCCAGTATAGTATGAACTTGGTGTCATATGGCTCAGCTGACCACAGTGACAGTTCATGTGTCTTTTTTGACATCTATAATAGTAATTAAGAAATTGACCATGTCCCGTTAATAATTAATTGAGCAATCTATTACAATACAGTCTTTTCGAGATAACTTTTAGAAGAACACTATATATATTCCTCCCGGTCATACTGTAGTATGATGGGTAAAAGAGGTTGGCCGTAAAATGGGTAAAATATAGTTTAAAAACTGCCAAGTAGTAGAGATACGTCGCCAGAGAAGTTGATTTTGATTTCAGTCAATCATTTAAAATTACGCAAAAAAGCAATCTTACTTTGACGTAGTTTTGATATTTTGAATGACTCTGTCCATTCTCAAGGCGATCAGACATATTTTTTTTTTTTCCTTCGTTTCTTCAGAATCATCCCAACAAATTTCTACCGACTTTATCTTTTCCCTTGGAAAAAAAACATACGGCAAACTCATGTTGCTTTTGTGCTTAATTTAAAATTTTACATTGTCCAGTTCTCTTCCAATAAGTGATGCCTTCGGAATGTTAAGATTAGAGCTGCAGCATTCGCTGAATAATTTCTTGAAACTTTATGAACGTAAATGAGCTTTTGCATTACACACGTTATGAACGGTTCATAACCTTTTGCATTTTCCTAATAAACGTGCTGCGAAAATACCTGTTTATCGGTCGTTATATTTATATTGATGATATAATTATTATTGTGTCTGCAAGTGGAAGACATACTATTGATGCTGACATTGATCATACATTGGATCTGATTAGTAATTGGTCAAAACAAGTTAAATTGAAATTCGATTATAAAAAATGTGCTATCATGGGCATAGCTAAAAGAGATAAAATGATTACTCTTCCAAGAGGACATATTGAAGGATATTCTTTAAAGAGTGTTCGAGAATTAAATTATCTTGGCATTATAATTGATGATCAACTTACTTTCATTCCTCATTTGAAAAAGATCAAGATACAGTTCTCTAGTATTTTGAATAAATTATATGCAATAAAAGATCTTAATAGTGATATAAAGAAAATATATTATAAGAGAGGGATTGAAAGGAAAATTTTATATTCATGTGCTGCATGGTATAAAAATAATGTTAGAGTTAACAATTTGTTAATTCAAATTCAAAGGCTTGCTATGTTAAGTATTACTAAGTGTTTCAGAACAGTTTCTAATGCTAGCTTGTTTACTTTAAGTAATTGCGAGCCAATCTATTTGATTGCTCAAAGAGATTGTATTTTATTTGATTTAAAGTATGGCAGAAGATCTGATCAAGTATTTGATTTACAAGTGGATATTTCAAATATTGAGATTTGTAAAATAGTTAATAAAGTTCATCCTGCGTTACTTTCTGATTATTTTTGGGATAAGAAGTTCCCTACTCGTGAAGGACACGGAATTTTTACTGACGGCTCAAAGATATGTGAAAAAGTGGGTTGCTCTTTTGTAGCTTATTCAAATGGTGAAATTGGATTTATTAAAAAGTTTAGATTAAGTGATAATTCAACAGTGTTTCAGGAAGAAGTCTTTGCCATTCTTAAATCTTTGGAATGGATACTGGGGAAAGATACAGAAAATGGTGTTGATTTATTTTCAGTTAGTCAAAGTGCATTACTTGCCATAGTTTCTGGAAAATCATTTACTAAATTGGTTTATAATGCTCATGTTCTTTTGATTGAAAATTTGAAGAAAAGAAATGTCAATCTTCATTGGATTAAAGGTCATATTGGACATGAAGGAAATGAACTAGCTGACATTTGTGCTAAACAAGCTATGCTGAAGAATTTGATTGATATTTTTCTTCCTACCTCTATAGAAACTTTTAAAAATGCATTAAAGAACAGAATAATTGATATCTGGCAGGACTTCTGGGACAAAGATTCAAAAGGAAGGTACACTTATAGATTCTTTAGAAAAGTTAATAAAATAGAGGTGTATTGGTAATGGGTTTTTGGGCCAATTTCTAACAAATCATGCATATGTACCATTATATTACAGTAGATTTAATATTAAATATTTGAAGTGTCTATGTGGTGAACAAGAAGCTGAATGTTGAGCATGTAATTTTATGTGATTTGTTGAAAAAATAAGTGGTTAAAGTTCTTACCATGTTTGAATACAGAAAATGATATTGTAAGAATTTTTCAAATTGAAAAATTTTAAGAAAGGTAATAATTAGAAATTATGAAAAATTATTACTGAGTCTGAAAATGTTATATTTGAACAGTCACTGTAACTTATTATTTATTGTTATATTAAAAAAAAAATTAAGAGTACAAAATAATCTATTGTAAATTAATACTTTATTATGTATATTTTTTAAATATTAATTTAAGTAAATTCAAGTTAAATTGCAATGTATGAATTCTTTTTATTGTATTATTTGTAACCAAAAAATTGATATTGATTTAATTTTGTTTTGTTTAAATAAAGGTATTTGCTGGTGAGGTCAGCAAATCTTCCCTTAGAGTATGAGTACGGTATGGTGGTTACATAAAAAGTTTTGTATGGTTCTAATAATCCCTGCTTTTGCCGCAAGGTAGCAGGTTTAAAACATCAGTCTTATAAGGTATTTCTCCCGCCTTCTTGGCATGCCTTTGTGGTGTGGTGATCTGCACACTGGGCGAGTATTCCAGAGGTCCACGGTTCAATTCCTGGCGAGCGCTTTGCTGATTTTCCAATCTTGCCTGCTTCCAAAAAAATGCCTAATGTCTCTGCACTGGCGCCCGAACTAAAAGGGTAGTAGATGATGATTCTCCACACCCAGGATTTGGCGATTGGGTCCCCTTAAAACCGCAGTCGCTCTTTAAAAGAGGGACTATATATAAGGTATTTCTCCCACCTTCTTGGCATGGCTTTGTGGTGTGGTAGAACTGCACGCTGGGCGCATATTCCAGAGCTCCATGGTTCGATTCCCGCCGAGGGCTTTACTAATTTTTCAATTTTGCCTGCTTCCAAAAAAATACCTAATGTCTCTACACTGGTGCCTGAACTGAAGTGTGGTCGATGATGATTCTCCACACCCAGGATCCCCTAAGAACCCCAGTTCCCCTTTAAAACGGGGAGTAGATAAGGTATTTCTTCCGCCTTCGTTGTGTTGTGGTCTGCACGCTGGGCGTGTATTCCAGAGGTCCGCGGTTCGATTCCCGGCGAAGGCGTTGCTAATTTTACATCTTGCCTGCTTCCAAAAAATACTAATGACTCTACAAACTAGCAGAAGTACCCGATGGCAGTTAAGTTAGATTGAGAGTAATGCATCTAACAACAGAGAGAACGATACCGCTGTAATTCTTCTCTAATTACGATGCAAAAAATACGATTCATTGTCAGACATTTTTCACTCTCGTATAGATTCTTTAAGTATTTATTTATATGTACAGATTTTGTAAAATTTACAAATTTTTGATTAACAAACTCTTCGATTTGCAAGCGAGCAGTAAGAATACTTTTCAAAATAAAGCATTTTGATCTGCAACGCGTGACACTGCTGCCACTCAGAAAAATGAGTGCGAAAATTAGCGCTTTCAAAGTTTTTCATTAATATTTTGCCTGGCGACGAAGTCGTACGAAGATGGGAATCGCTGAAATGGTTTCCCGCAAATTTTTGGAATCGGGAATAATGTATTTAATGTCTGACAGTGCTATTTTTATTTCATCATAAAACTTAGAGAATTTTTTTATTAACAATCTCTAGGATTTAAAAGCGAGCAGTGGCAACAGCTTTCGAAATAAAGCAGATTTTCATCTCCAGCTTGCGAGACAGTTGCCACTCATAAAAAGGAGGGCGAAAAATATTGTTTTTTCGAGTTTTTAATTAATATCTTTGATTTTAGCTATTCTTTTTTGGAAAAAAGTAGACGTCGACCTTTTTCAGAACCAGAAAAGAATTGTAAAAAGTTTGGTGACGATAGCTACAGTAGTGAGTGAATGAGTTATTAGAGGACAAACACAGAAACTTTCTTCTTTATATGTATAGATTAGTTCAATTCCATTGCTATTTTGAAGAATATTGTTGCCATCGTTTAATAATATCATTCGGATACTGTAATGAAAATAGATTATAACTAATAATTTCATTCTCTCTCCTGTAGGAAGACTGGATCCTCAATTTTGCCGGAGACGAGCGCTACATCCAAAATGATAACCCTCTGGTTCTGGAATGGCTAAAGGAGAAGATAGAAAAAGTGCTTCTCTTCAATACAAGGGAAAAGCCTTGCCCTCTCTGAAAGAAACAACACTCATAGATGTATATTTTGGGTACAGAAATACAGAATAGGACTTGCTGCGATCGTTGTTCGATGCCCAGACCAAGCGTTAAAAACTCTACAGTGCTAGTATTTTCTTTTTTTGCTTCAATAGCGGACTGCTTTTTATGGGTTCTTGATGATTATCTTGCAAGTCATTATTTTCATAGCTAGACATATATTTATTGATTAGTAGTACCAGGGCCTGATGGGGTTTCTAATCGGTGGACATTTTTCGAGTAACCCGTCTTTCGCCAAGGAAGCGAGGGTGTCGCTCCATAAAGGCACAAGGTCAGCGGTACTTTTTGCTCGTTATGCTGATTGCTCGCAAAACATAAGGATACTTTGACAAATATGCAAGGGTGTGCCTGCACCTTTGCATGGAGCTCCGTTCTGTGAAGAAGGCATCTCATCAAGGGCACTGGGACACTCATTTGAAAGTTTTACTCTTGAAGGATACAGCACCAACCTGCTTAAAGGTGCCAGCACTTTTCCAAGGTGACAGTCGCTGGATAAGTTGGTCGACGTCGGGTTGGTCAAGCTGACGTGGGCAAATTAAAAGGTACCTGCACCTTTTCCGAGTAAATCAACACCAAGGAAAAAAGAGTCATTTCATAAAATCATGAAGATGCCAATACCTTTTCCCCGCTATACTGAATCCTCGACGATGCGTAAGGGTGCCTTAACATATAGGCACAAATGTGCCGACACCATCGTAGAATTCTGTATCATGAAGAAAGCACCTCATAAAGGCTACAGGGACACCCAATTGAGTCAACTGAGTCAGGCTGCAAAAAGTTATAGGCAGCTTTTTCAGACGGCAGTCACTCGTGAAGCTCTGAGTGAGGGAAAGGTACCAGCACCCTTATGGGAATTTGACCATGGGGCTTGAAGAGCCAGGTGGGCCGGACTATGGTATAGTGAATAAAGCAGCCCTCATCAAGGCTGCCGGAACACTCAGGTCTTGGAGAAGAGTTGCCTACTTGCATAAAGGTGTCGGCTCTTTATAACATTTTATGGAATCATCCGTGTCGGGAGGTACATAAAAATTCTTTGTTTTATGCATATTGAGTAGATCCAACAATTATGAATTTTAGAAGTCAAACAACAAAAATCAGCGTTATATTTTCATAAGACTAGTTTCGATGGTTTTACCGAACCATCATCCTCAGCTGTAAAACATCATCGACACTAGTCCTGTGAAAATTTGAAAATATAACGCTGATTTTTGCTGTTTGATTTCTAAATTAATACTTGTTAGGTGTGTTATTGTATATTAATTATAAATTTGCTATGAGTTAACGACGATGGGGTTAATAAGTCGAAACCATCGATATCAGGTAACAAAGCAGCGTCACGGATACCGCCACTTTGGGAAATTTTTGGATAACCCCATCCGCCTCTGATGACTAAGGATTCTGTTTCGTACTACGTTTGGCCCATTTGCTACAAAAACTCTATACTGTCAAAAGAAATTGCATAGTTTATCAAAAATATATAGAAAAAGAAATTGTTAATTCAATTTCATGTAATTCGACACAAAAATTATTTCATACAGCGCTTTTGCAACATAATCGAATAAAATTATCATAGGGTTTCGCATTTAAGGACTGAGGTAGGAAAGAAATCCATCACTCATCAGTTTAAATTAAATGCAAATGTAATTCATGCTATTGTTGAGCAATGTTATAATTATTTAGTCCTCTAAGGCTGCTATCACACGTCGGTTTGTTTCGGAAGAACAACTGTTTGGAACAATTTTTCTGCTTTGTCACAACAGCCTATCACCATAGGTCACTGTGGGGTTAACACAGGAGAAATTGGTTCCCCATTAAGAGGTTATCACACTTGGCTACAGTCCTGGCTAGACGGGACTTTTTTGAGAAACGAGTTTCTGATGGCACTCATTTAACCGGGAGGATTCCTAAAAAAAAAAGAGCCCCGCCCGAAGCGAAGTCCTGCCTAACTACAGAAATAATGCTGCAGCTACGCGGGATTTTTTCAAACCTTACTGAAAATATTTCGGCTGGACCTCTGTCCCGGGTAGAGACAACCAATTGGACAAAAGATCTGCTTCTGAAGCGTCACGTGATCCCAATCTGAGCGATAATTGATTAGTATTTGGCATTCAAGTCTTTGTAGTAAGTGAAAACAGTAACCTAGCTACGTGGGTTTCCTGGAATTGTGCGAGTTCTGAGAATTGTCCCTTTCGACGTCAAGTCCCGCATAGCCAAAGCACAATGTGATTGGGACATTGCAAACAAGCTGATAGCTGATTGGTTGAAATCAACGAACAACTTGCAATTTTTTTGGAAAGGAAGGAAAAAGTCGCACTTCTTTCTTTCAATAGTAAACCAGGCAGAAAAATTGTCCGAAACAGTTGTTCGTGCGAAACAAACTGCTGTGTGATATGAGCCTAACTGTTCGATATAGTTATCCGAAATGCCATCGCCACAGTAAATTTCAATTATATACAAACCTTAATGTTTGCTGTCTGATGAAATAAATGTCTGATGTCCAGTTTTTTCTCATCCCAGTCGATGCCGTTATTTTTAGAGAATATGACGCTATATTTAAATGTATTTCATGTGAAAGAAAAAATACGTGAAAAATGGGAAACTGATAATTGCGAAAATAAAATCTGATAAAGTAATGTATGCATCAACGAGTGGTTAGCAGTCCAAAATATTAGAAGTATGTTTACATTACTATGCTTTACATTTGCATCAGCCTAGTAACATGTTTGATGAGAGATAATTTCCTGAATATTTTCTAACACAGCTATAAACTGTATTTTCCATGCTGTTTGACATTCAACGTTTCAAGTTTGCAATCAACAAACCTGCACAATGGCCGCAGCAAGCCGTATTATAAGAACTCTATGTGAATGTTTAATGATATAAAAATAGATGTAAAAAGCCACAGATAATGTGCTAGACAGTTACATGTCTGCATGCAGTGTACTTTCAATTATGTTGGCTAATGCCGGGAAAACAGGTCATGGATAACTGAAAAATACCAAACTATTAGTTTTCATGCATATTGTAAACGTTTATTTCTTAAAAAAAAAAAAAAAAAAGTAATTTTACTTTGTTTTTGAAAATGTTTAAATATTTATCGGATTTCACTGCGTATTTTTCGAATCCCGTTTGATCGATGATATCCTTTAGAATTTCAACTGAAGTCATTGCTGTCTTGGTAATTGTTAACATTGAGAGTTTAATGTTGTTTCGGTTAGAAGAACCTGCCGCAATGTCGTAATCTTTTAAGACTAACTTTTTTTTAACAATATCATGGAAAGTCTGCCCGACAATTCCATTTTTCCGGCGAGCTTGTTGTCGATTCGACATGTTTAAATCTTTCTATTAATGTAAGCTTTCGTTTGAATGTTAAAACAACTTGCGCTTTGTACTTGTAGCATGCTTTTTATGAATTTTTATTCCAAAGAGGCCCTGAAGGACTATTATTTTCGTTTTGGCATTTTGCATTGGTTCACTATAAATGTCCGATTTATGTTTCAAATTGTTGCCATCAAATATTATCGCCCTATTATATTAAAGAAATTAAATAATGAAGAATCTGCATAAATGTATGTATGTTTCTCGCATTGTGATAAAAAAATGGTATCTGGAGCCATCCAATTTTGAGTAACTATATTCCGCCCAAAGATGGGCATCTGGAAACCCGAATTTGGAATTCATTTTATTATCTATTTCATATTTTGTAAATCTTTCAGGAATTTTTGATTAACAAACTCAATGATTTGAAAGCAAGCAGTGGCAACACTCTACAGAGGGGGGGGGGAATACTTTTTCTCTTCAGCACGCGAGACTGTGTATCGGAAATTCTAAAGGTATGCTGATTTTAACATTATTTTGCGATATTGCTGTTGAACTGAATATTATGATTTAAGTGCGAAGAACATGCAAATTGTTTAATATATAAAAGTAACACACAAAATGTTAAAAAAATGCCCCTTTGAACTTAGTTTAAAATCTGAAACCTTTCAGATTTTTTAATTTTCCTTTCTTCTTTCTATTACTTTGGGCCATTTTTTTTTTATTCTAAAAAAATCATTTTTAAAAAGAAAAAGAAGGAAATATTCACAAAAATACATATAAAATAAAAAATATCACAGCGGTCAGCCTAAATGATGCCATTGACTATGCGCATGCAGAAAGAAGTGTACGACATAATCATTGAAACAAAATCTAAAAACCCAATTCAGCGGGTTGCGGGTTTTAGAGCTTGCGTGACACTCGCACATAGTGTGCCGTGCGTAGGCATTGCCTCTTGCAGATAATTGAGAGTACACTGTTCTGTTTTTCTTTATTTGTTCTTTCAAATCATTCTGTGCTGGATACGGACAATGATTATATTTGTAAAAAAGAATTTATTATGGATTAGTTTAGTAATGAATGGTTTGTAAAATTCACAATGAGTGTGCCATGTGTATTATATATCTAGTCATTGTGTGTTTTCAGTGAAATAAAAAAAAAAAAAAGGTCCTTTCTGTTCCAAAGATTTTTATGTTGAAAGTATTAAATTAAAAAAGATATTTTGAATTTTGCAAAATTTTCATTTTTCTGAAAAAGTAATTGCGTATTATGGTTCATGATGAGTGTGCTATCTGTATAATATGTTATCTAGTTATTGTTTGTTTGTTTTCAGTGAAAAAAAAATTTGCCCAGGTAAATAATCCTCTCCATTTCAACGGTTTCATATTAAAGGAGTTTAAATCAAAAAAGACATTTTTATCTTTATAAAATTTTCATTTTTCTGAAAAAATTGTTGAATTATCAATTAATGAAAAAAGTTTTAATATGAAAAGTTATGCATCAATAAAAAGAATTTTAATTGAGACCTCACAAAAATGAAGTTAATTTCAAGAGCAGGGCTTCTTAAACTTTTTTCAGTCGCGACCCCTTTTTATCATTGAAGATTTATTTGTGACTCCATAATATTTACGAACATTTTGTGGGACCCCCATAAGCATTGTGCCAATCCGACACACGCGTAAGTGAAACTGTCAATTTTTTTCACTTCTACTGCAATATACTATTTCAATTTTAGGTCATTAACTTTAATTTCTAATTTTAAGATGTAGAACAATGTGAAAATTTTAAATAAGTAACAGACGAAATGACAGTGTCGCATGAAAAGCAAGGAAAATTAACGTTTATATTATAAAAAGAATGCATCGAAATTTTTTCATTTTTTCTTTGTTTGTATTGTCTTATCCTTATGTATTTTCAGATAGATTGTGTAAAAATATTTGGTAATTGTAAAATTATTATGGTAAGTTTAAAGAAATATCAAAACTGCTAAAATTTTTGGGGCCCCCTGGTGCAGGTCCTGCGACTCCATGGGGGTCGTAACACACAGTTTAAGAAACTCTGTTCTAGAGATTCACCCATGCCAAATATTTCAAAAGGACAAGAAATTTTCAAATTAAAAAAGGCTTGAAATTAAATATCGGCATTGATTTGTACAGTTATTACCCCTCTATAATTTTCAACTAGAAACTTTTAACTGTAGATACTTCATTGGAAAAATCATTGAAGAAAGAAAGGGCATTCTTTGTACAATTTCAGTAAAAAAAATACACTGCTGGACAGTTGCTAAAGACAGATCTCAAACTGCAGTATACTATAGCATTAAGCAGGAGTAAAGGCTATGCAGGATAAAATATTGTGGATACACTGTTTGCATATAAAAATTAAAAGCATATATAGTTCAGGAAAATACAGAAAGTTTTGAAACATCAAAAAATGTTTTTAAATTTTTTTTTTTAATGGTGTGTATGGAGAAATGAAAAAATGCATATGAAAGACAACACTCATTTTTGAGAAAGGTGTCAGTATGAGATATGTTCACTGTGGAGTAGGATGCAACTTTCCACAGCAATAACCAGCGAGTGTTTGATGCTATGGTGTGTTGCCGTGCATGAAAAGAAATTTATCACCTAAAGCTCCATGGAAAAGCAAATATGAGGCAGTTGAACTTCAGGAATATATTGTTTGGCAGTCATATCCCCAGTAACAAGCATAGGGGCATACCACCATTGATTATGGTGCTGTCTTATATTATGACACTGCATCACAGGTATGGTCCCTTTCTTGGATATTTTTTGGACGATAAGCATTATCACTCTCACAGCAGTTCGGTTGGCGGCTATAATCCGGTAACAGATTGGGTCTCACATAATAATCCCATATAAGGTACTAATTGTATTTCTGCATACTTTACTTCCTTACATTTTGTGGTTGCTATGGGTTGTCTGTCCTTAGCAATTGTCCAGCACTATATTATTCACTGTTAAATTGCAAGTGAATTGAAGCAACTTTTCATTACACCACTTAATCTGTATGTGAAATTCTAGCAAAATAACTTATCAATAAGAAATCGTTATCCCATGTATGAAGAACATTTGCAATACTCGAGTTCAGAATTCACTGAATGTAAATTCTTTAATTTCTGAAACTTGTAGCCTTTTTCTATTCATTTATTTTTAAAGAAATTTAGAATGTCTGGAATATAGAGTAAATACACAAATGTGGAATTGTGGAAAATTGTTACGGTGTAGCCAAATTACATTGACTAATTCATCACAAAAATGTATCATAATTTTGAACTGAAATTTTTACTTCTTCATTTATAAATACACATGAAATGTTCCTATAACCTTTTTCACTGTTGCTTACACATTAACTGTTTTGTCTGCGTAACTGTCTGGTTCTAGTCATGCATTTATCCCATTCGACATATTTGTGTTGAAATACTTCCTGGATAATCGAACATTATTATACCTGTGATAGGACATTCGCAGACATGTGATTGCCACTCATGATGTATCACATGACAAATAAAAATAATGCTAAGTTATATAGTATCTCAAGATTATTTATTTCCTTTATGAGGTTTTCTTCTTTATTTTATGCATGGTAACACTTGAGCAGTTAAAAGTATTAGTAAAACATAAGAAAACTATAAACCTATACCAATCAAGCCTATCCCCTGGGGTTACTCAAACTAGCTTTGTATTATACGAGGGTTGGAACTTTAATAGTGGCAACACAGCTGAAAAAATGCTATGCAACAAAACCAAAGAATATTGCGTAGACCACACGTAAACTACATACCTACCTTACCTCTCAGCAAAAAGACTCGTCCTGCATACGTCACACGCATGCGGAGTGACGCGAAGAACGAAACCTTGTATTAGCTCGCGGTCTAAAGTAAGTGTTGTCAGGATGTTTTCAAAACAAGAACAACGTGTTGGATAAAAATTGAATGTGCCAGAGGTCATACAGCACACAGGTGTCATCAAGGGTTTCAAGAGGCTTGCGGGGAAACTGCATTGCCTTACAGAACCGTAGCAAGATGGGTGAAAGCATTTAATGAAGAACGCCAAAATGTTCAATTCATCGCAATTCATGCCAAATCATCGCAATTCAACGTGCAATTCAATAACAATATCTGAATGGTAATATTAACTCTGATCACATTAAGTGGTGATTATGATTAAAGAATACTAGTCCATGAGGGCTATCTATTAAGAGAAGGGGTGCCTCTGTGGAAAACTTCCTAAAGAAAATGTGCTCATATTCATGTCACACAAGGATTAAAATCATTACTTAGTTTAGCTAGCATGTTTACTAAGATTTGAATACAGGTAAAACTATCAGTATGCAGTGGTCATATCCATCTGAACAATGACAGAATTAATTACTAGATAGGAATGGATTATTCAACTATAAAATAATCACAGCTGAGATCTCTGCCACAAATCTAAAATGAAACTTAATTTAGGTGTGAGTATTATTACATTTTAGTACATTCGGGCCATGCTTAGATGAAATCGGAAGTACAGAATGGAATCTGAGATATGCAGATGTTTATATATGTTATCAAAATAAATACTTGAATACTTTACACACAATAAATTGAATAGATTTAAACCATGCATTTACAAGCAAAATTTATTAATGAATAATTACCTTAATGAGAATGGTATTTACAATGGGAATCCATGTTTTAACAAAATGATTGCATAATAAGATATCCACATAATAAGACATCTTCATGTTGTCTTCTTCTTGGCAATTTTTTTCTCGAGTGCATTTATTTCTTTCTCAATTTCGGCACAAGCTCTTTCAATTTCGTAGTTTTTACTGACAAGACCTACCCAACTAAAAGAAAAAATTAAGATGCATTTTAAAAAACAAGGTCATTAATTAATGCTTTAGAAAACTCTCTGAAAATGAACAGAAGGTGTACATTTAAATAGTTTCATTCTGTAACATGAATACAAACTGAAATTTAAGGGGTTCTTTTTAATTGTAAACAGTTTGTTAGAAGTATAGTTTATAAATAAGAAACAGAAACACTACTTGGCAGATAATGTTGAAGAGATCATCGCAAGCCAAAAAGCATGGCAGGTACGTAATGGAAAAAAATAGGGTGCTTGGCATTTAAAATTTTAATTAATAAAAATTTATTTAACTATTTGTCTACATCTGGGGAGTCGACCATTTGTCGAACTGCTTCCGTGGTGCGATTCATTTCTTTCAAATTCATTTGTATGCAAATAGAGATGGACTGTCGCCATTAGCACGATAAACATTGTAATCTGGACACCTAGCAAAGGAGTTAATTGTGTGACTCGTTTTTTTCTTTTCTTACTTCTTCAGGACAGTGGTACAACACTCACTATTATATAACTCTCTTTCAATATGTATTTGGAATACTAACGAATCTCGGATCTATTTTCATGTATTAATAAAATGTGTTTGTGATCTTTTAATTTCCGGCTACAACCTTTTTTTGGAGGGGGGGGATCAATTTAATTTACTACGATCTAGTTGATGCTGTGCTGGATACAAGGAACAGGAATCATTTTGCTCTCTACTTTTATTAATTTTGTTGTGAAATAGTGAAGCTACAAAAATGTTTTACAACAGTATTTTACCGCAATGGATTTGAAAATTTGGGATTTAATAAATGACCAAGGTGTAGGATTTAGCAAAGAACAATTATGTTCCTTCAAGTTCAGTCTTATCCATAAAGAGGCTGTGTTCAAATAAGCATCTGATGAAAGCCGAATATTTGCCAAAGGCGTTTTGCTATCTTTGGTCATCCAAAATGAAACATGTTTTGAGAACTCGCATATTCCATTCCTCACTAGTCCATGATTTATTTATTTACGGTGCAAACAACTGACTTTTGTGAACGACAGCTTCACTTGCATTCCAACATGATGCTAGACTTGAACAATAAGTTCTCTTTGTTGCATTTCTTTGATATTTCATCCTAAATCTAAGATTGGTGCTACTGACAAAATCGTCAAAGTTTGTTCACAAAAAAAGAAATATAACGTAGGTTATGTATTATCTCCGCAGTGGATTTTTGGAGGTTTGTGTTGGGAAACGGGAGAATTTTTCCTCATCACTATTCTAGATCACTGTGCTAAGATGGAACGAGATAATCATCCAGTTGCAGGTTGTCATGCCCAAGCTATCGAACATTTTTGGGGCAGCGCTAAATAGCAGAGCAAATACCAAAGACTCACTACTCATCAACATTTTTATTCCTAGTTAGTAAAATTCATGTGGCGCTGCCTACATCAGAAGTATCAGAATCTACTATTTTTGATATGCTGATTCTTCTGAATGCCACTGCCATATTAGTGGATATTTGTAAACTTGTCGCCCATTTAGTGTCCTCATTCATATCAGCTTCTTTTTTAAGTAATTAAGAATGAAAAAATTCTGTGTAATAATAGTGTTAACTATTCTAAGAACTAAAAACTGTTATAATTATTCTCATAATTGCTACAAACTATTCTCATAACTAAAAATTGTTCACAATTAAAAAAAAAAAAATTTGTAGCAGGTGCATAAAGAAAAAGTAACAAAATTTGATATAATGAGCTTAAGTATTCTGCAATTGCTACACTATCTCATCTCATTTAATGAAGTGATTAAGATTTTAGAATCAAATGAAGACAAAGTTGCAGAAATTTCTGAATGTAATTAAGTATAAGAATTTTAACATTACTTTATTTAACATAACATAATTGTTATTATATGGAATATAAAAATTTTTGAAATTTTGAAAAAGAGCATTTTTGCTATTCTGACTTGAACTTAGACGAGTTAAAATTATGACTTAGTCTTGATACATATTTTATTACAACTTGCTACAACAAAAAACTGCTTAAAAAATTCACATGCTTTTAGTTTTAGAAAAATTTCAAAATAAAATTAGATTACCTTACTTTATGAATTACAATCAAATCTTTACTTTGTGTTTAAACTACTTTGCAAAGGAACTACAATATCACTTTAGCTCATAGGCAATAGCTTGAAGAATTTACTTTTTAATATACCCAAGAAAATTCGTTTGCTAGAAGGGGTTAAGAACTTCAAGATTTGACTGAAGCAACCAACAGACAGAAAAATGAAGCCATTTAAAATTGCATAAAAATTTACTTTTTCTCCTAAAATTTACACTATTTTTCCTTTTCCCTCACAATTATAGAATTAAATGTAAATAATGCAATGAAAAAAATTAACCAGTACACCCCACACCAGAAATAGAAATAATAAAACAAATAAGATACAGACAGTTTAAATTTTATTGTAACTTCATAATAAATGCTAAATATGTCTTGCTTAGTTAAGAAGTAAATAAAGTTATACCCAAGTTAGGAAGTAAATAAAGTTATATCCAAGTTAAGAAGCAAATAAAATGCTACCTAGATTCCAAATTCCGTAGCTTTTCACCAGCCGTATTTTGAGAGTTTTTCCTCTGCCAGTTAACTTCTAAAATTTTCTTTCTAAAGCATAACAAACAATTATGGTGCATAACTAATACATCTTCAAGACATATTAAATAATACCAGCAGTTCAACACTAAACTGAATTTTTTAAAGCAGACAAAATTTTTATTAACTATATTCAAATATGTAACAAACCTTAAGTCTTGCAACTGCTTTTGAGCCTGATTTACCATTTGCATCAACACAGTATTGCATGACTTCCATGCTTCACATCCATAGATGCACATAAGTTCCAAATTGCAAATTCTGTAAATCGAGAGGTGATGTTGTTTTAATGTAACATATACCATAATTACAACAAAAATAGAAGTTAAATACATAAGTACAGTGTTTCTAATCTACCAATTTATGCTAAAGTAGCTCGCTAGACGTATCTCGAAGTCCGAGATCCGAAATCGTCGTGACTTTGGCAATTTCGGATTTTAGATCATGGGTTTAACCCTCTCGCTGCATATTTTTTTAAAAATCAAAATAGGTTAAAAAATTGCATAACTCTGAAAAGCGAGCGTAAAATGCTAGAAAAAATTATTGTGCATTTCGCAGAAATGTGGACAACTAACACCATCCTGTTAGCCCACATCTAAATAAATAATTAAACATCACAGAAAAGCTGAAATGAAACCATGAAGAGGGGGAAAGCAGGTTGCACAGTTAAATAGACGGCAAAAATGCATCCCCACAGAAATCGTGGGTTGCACAAATTTTGCTATTTCTACATTGCCTGCGGAAATTGCAGGATGTGCAGTAAGAGGGTTAAGCATAATAAAATGATGCATAGAGATGGCAACATTGGTGCTTCGCTGATTGCTTAGGCAAGACAGAAGAATGCGAACCCTCCCCCCCAAAAAAAACTGAATCCAGAGCCGATGTGGCTGCACCATGCAGAAAACGTTATACAGTACAAAGTCCGTAATCTGGACTCGTCGGGAGTTTGCCGATTCTGGATTAAGGGTTTTACCAGATTATAGATCATCAATTTAAATCTGGTAAGATGGGCATGCAGAAATTATACAATTAAAAATATGAAACTGTAATTTATAAAATAAAGAGCATTTATGATATAAAGGGTATCAAAATTTACAAGAAAGAAAAGCTTAATATTTATTTGTTTACTTTATTAAACATTTCTTTCAATGTAAGTTGCTTCATTTTTTTGTGCTAATACTTTCTCTATAATTCTATAAACAGACATAATTTCTTTTTCAGTTACAAAGTTCCACTGTTCAAGTCCTGTAATTCTTGTGTCGAGAATACCGACTAACTTGTCAATCGAAATTTTTTTTTGTTTTCAATAGTCACTTTCTTCACTATCGGAAGCGGTATTTTCTGGATCTAGAACCATATTAGAGATTTTCTCATCCGTAAATTGATTGCTGATTGGGGCATTGTCGTCGCAATGAAAAACTCTGTTATATCATCTTCATTCATTACCGCTTCTTCACATTTCTTTACAAAATACAATAACTAGAAAATTTCACCTTTAGTTTGCGATGTCCTTGAAAACCTTCAAATTCGTGGCTATCGTCTGTTCTACATTAAACATGAATTATAGAGAACTTATATGCATGCATAAAGCATAAAAAAAAGGGGTTTGTGGCTTTGAGGTCCGGATTATAGATCATTCTGGATAATGGATGTCTGGATTACGCACTTTGTACTGTTATTTATAAGAGCACCAAGAATCAAAAATTAGGAATGGTTATCAGGTTCAATGTTTCTTCTAACCTTCTTCGGAAACATACAATGACCTGACTAGAACAGAGAGCTTACTAAAGCTATGTTCACTAATTGTAGTAAGTAGACAGGATACAGACGAAGGGTATAAAAACCCTTTATTTTTTTCTTTATATACAATGACTTCCGTATTCGGAATACAATGACCCTCCACTCGGGGTCTAACTTAAAAGATATCAAAATAAACTAAACTCTAATTTAACTTTAGAATAAGATTGGCCTTATAATAACAGAAAGCGTATGTAGCACAGAGACTGTGAAACTACAATACGTTTAATTTTCAAGAGGATTAAAACCTCTGGCCTGGAAGGCCTGCTTCGAACTCACGGCTTCCTCTCTTCTGCTTGGCAAAAAGGCCACACTTAAATACTTGGCGTTCGCCAGACACTTTGCATAAACTCCTTCACGCTTATAATTCTGGCCGGAAGTAGAAAATAAGAAGTGATAGTAAAGATTTAAAATAAAATAAACGTTAGTAAAACTTAAGATCCTTACATACTTCCCACCAGAGTTAATTAGTTTGAAACTGAGGTCTAAAACGACCTTGTTGAAAACTTTTAGCTCTAGAAACTAACGCGAGGCCAAACTTTTACAATCATAACTTAGCTAGAAACTAGAAAATTTAAAAAGAAAGAAATTTGTTACAATAGCAGCTCCCGGAATATACAACAATCTTTTTTCTTTTCATCTGTACTGCATCAAACAGGAGCTTTATTCAATTCTGGTTCCTTCCAGAGATCTGGAAGGAAAACTAGTTTAATGAAATGTTACAGAATGACATTGCAAAAACATATAGAATATACTTTTCTTAACATTCTTATTTCATTCATGACTATTTAATATCTCTCCCCGTGCTCTCTGACATGTGTTGTAAAACACCAAACACGAATGTGTTTCTGTCTATGTGTTCAACACTTCCTCCTACAATCAAAAAACTAACGTGTTAAAATTCAAATACGAGACCTCTTAACACACCCTAATTTCAACTCTAGACCCTGAGGTACTATTCTGAAAGTGGCTAACTCTAAAGTGTAGCGTCAGAGAGCCTAAACTACATCATTCAACCTTTAACACATATTCACCATGATTTAATCTTTACAGTCACACGAATAACAAATTTTAACATATTTCACTTTTACCATATCACGGTATTTCTAACATTCAAAATAACAGTTCACATGTATACAAGAACATATCAAGATGCCGTTAATTTTACACATTTGAAAACATACATTAGTAGTACATTGTTAACTTCTATTCTTTTCAAAGCAAGTGCCAATTCTTTCTACATTGAAATAATACTACATTTCAAAAAGTCTTTCAGACTAAAACTTCTTTCTTGTTAGAATGTTTTAAATAAAATTTATACAATAACTTTTTACAATATTTAAGTCTTTATACAACGCTATTAATACATCAACTTTAGTTTTTTTACGCGCGAAGTAATTGAAAAAACATAATAAGAAAATCGTCACAAACTCATTTCTCGCCCTTTTGGCGATAAAGGTAGACCTCGCATGAGGTAAAACTTCTTGAAATCTGCCACTTGCAGTAAGAATGAAAGATTAACTTAAGTTTGTAAAGTAACATAAAATTTTACTTATCTTTGTAATATTCAGACATCCTTTTCTGGGCCCAGTCTTTAAAGGTGCTGGCAGACCGTAGCTCTTGGTTGATCCTCCTTCTTGTACGGGCTCGCCCTTCAGTGCTTTCCTCTGGAAGCTTCCGTTTTTCACCACTACGGCCACCCTTGAACATCTTTCCTTCTGTCCTCTGCTTGTGGTCTTGGCCGTTTGAAGGCAGCTGGTCTTGGTGGAACCGGAAACTTCTGTCGTGATCCTGCTTGGACCTCGTTGTTGGCCGTTCAAATTTTTCTTGTACTTTTTCCTCCGCCGTTGATGGCCCTTCCGCAGTTCGGCGACTTTTGCTGCGGAGAGTTCTGTCGGATGAGTCAATCTTCCGTTTCACAGCAGGGTTTATAGTTGCCGTCCTTTCTCCCGGTCTTTTCCACATACGTGTCCTTCTCCTTCTTCATTCTGGGGGTGTTCGTGAACTCTGGTTTTTGGACGGTTGGAACGGCTTCTTTTTCTTTGTACCTTCAATTTTTCCGCGGGGCAATTTTCTTTTCACTTGCTTCTGTCTCTCATTGGCTTGCCCTTGTACTTGTCGTTTTCCCACCTCTGGAACTTGTACCTGCGGTGTCTGCCGTACCGGATCCTGCAAAAGATCTGAAAAGATTTGCATTTTATTACGGTCATAGAATGGTTTATCTGGTCAATGTTTGCGGAACAGGTTTCACCATTTCTTGCCTTTAACACTACAACAGCGTGAGTTATTTTTTCTATAACATATGTCCTTCAAAGCGTGGAAAAATTTGGCAGTTTTCTTCTGGTGCTGAAGAAAGTGAATGCTTAATTTTTAGTACTTCATCCCCCTACTTTATAAGTTACTCCCCGTCGTTTCAAGTCATAATACAATTTTTGTTTCTTTGTGCTACTTCCGTATTCTTTTTTGCTTCTTTATTAGTTTTTCTATATCACCATTTAAATTCTGGGGCTCTTTGTTGCACATAAAATAGTTTATCTAACGGTGTTATAACCTTTCTGCCTAGAAATAACTCAGCAGGAGTTTTGCCCGTTGTATCATGTTTTGCGGTCCTAAGGGCGAAAGCAAATTCATTGACATAGTTATCCCAGCTTTTATGAAAATTTTTAACATAACTACGGATAATTTTCACTATTTTCTGTTGACCCGTTCCGCTATATTTGATTGCGGCCGATACGGGACCATTTTTTAAATGACGTATGCCCAGTTTTGGCACATGTCTTCAAATATATTACTTACAAATTTGGACCATTATCCGATATAACTTTTAGGGGCGCCCCGTATTTAAATATATTTATTTAAATAGAATCGGTAACTAATTTCGCGGAGGCTCGTTTTAGGGAACAATTTCGGTCCATTTACTAAAAAAATCAATATAACAAGGAGATAGCGACTTTGTTTACTGACTTTTTGGGAAAGGGCCCAATAAATCGATGCCGATTATTTCATTTGGAAATTCGGATTTAATACTATTTAGAAACCCGGCGGCGGAAATTAATATATTAACGGTTGACATGTTGGGCAGGACTGGACATACGCCCTTGTTAACTTTTGCAGTTCAGGAAAGTAGACTGCCTCGCGTACGCGTTGAGTAGTTTTTCGAATACCAGCATGAGAAGCTAAAGGGCTGTCATGGAGCTCTTGCAGGATATTTAATATAAGACTAGCTGGGATAACAGGTCGAAATTCGTTGTTGGAATTCGTAGTTTTTGTATAAAATAATAGACCATCTATTAGTTCGTAATGGGCCGCCCTATTTCTTATCGCCACAATATCTTGGTGGCTAAAATTTTCAGGATCCTTCAAATACTCATAAATACTTCCAAACTCAGGATCCTTACCCAGTTGGTTATTACAGTTTCTCGGGAATTTATTGTACACGCTGTCAGCATTGCAACTTTTACGGT